AGCTTCAATTCGGCTTATGTGAGTGATATAAAACGGTGACCAGTTGACACAATTGAATTCCAATATCGATCGGACTAACGAATAGTATAATATCAGAATGGTTCTGATGTTACTGAAGTTCACCGTCCACCGCTTTAAACACCCCAAAAGTTTTCTACCTCTAGAAACAACATATTCACAGTGACTGACGAAAGATAATTTAGTGTCTAAATAGATACCCAAATCCTTGGCATTGCTAACTATGTCTAAGGGCGTATTTTCTAGTAGGTACAATGGAACTGAGGGACGACTTTTGCGACTAAAGCACATTGCTTTGCATTTTTTAATGTTAAGAGACATATGATTGAGTTTACACCAATCGTTAAGACATATAAGATCATTTGTCAAAGTATTTATGTCATACATGGAATCAATCTTCTTATATAACTTCAAGTCATCTGCATACAGTAAGGAATTTGAGTTGAAATTCAAGCAGATATCGTTAATGAAGATATTAAATAAAAGTGGTCCTATAACCGAGCCTTGAGGAACTCCAGATGTTGATTCGTAGGTAGATGACTTGAACTTCATTAATTGTACAAAATGTAGACGATGACTGATATAAGATTGAATCCATGAAAGTAAAGGATCACGAACGCCGTAGAGTAGAAGTTTGTGTATCAAAATGGTGTGATCAACAGAATCAAACGCCTTGTGGAAGTCTGTGTAGATGCAGTGAATTTCCGAACCGTCCTCAATTGCATTAAAAATATCATTTATGTATACAAAGAGATTAGATTCAGTTGATCTACCAGAACAAAAACCATGTTGTGACACACTGATTACGTTTCTAAAAGAATCACTTATGAAACTGGACACAATGTTTTCAAAGATTTTCGATAGAACTGAAATTATACTAATCGGTCGATAGTTTTCAATGTCTTGCTTATTGCCAGATTTAAAGATTGGTACCACACGTGCAGATTTCCACAAGTCAGGAAATTTTCCCGAACTTATTGAAATAGAGAAAATTCGTGTTAGTGGTATAACCAATGAATCTCTGCAAGTTTATCGATTTTTTGTTTTTCAATTTCAACAAAAATCCTCAAATCCTCCATCAAAATCTTCAAATCCTCTACCAAAATCCTCAAATCCTTTACCAACATCCTCAAATCCTCGACTATAATCCTCACATCCCCAAAACAACAAAATCCTAAAAATACCAAAATCTTTAAATGCTCATCAAATCACCAAAATCCAAATTTTGGAGGATTTTTTGATTGGATTCGCTTTTTCTTGCCATTTTTTTCCATTCATTAAATTTTTTGCGGTTTTTTAGTTTTTCAATTTCAAAATCCTCAAATTCTTGACCAAAATCCTCAAATTTTAAAATCCTCAGAATCCTCAAAAGATCAAAATTCTCAGCTACTCAAAACACCAAAATCCTCAAATTCCCCAAACACCAAAAGCTCCAAATCCTCAAAACACCAAAATTCTCAAATCCTCAAAACAACAAGATCCTCAAAATACTAAAACCCTCAAATACTCAAGTCACGAAAATTCCCAAATCCTCAAAACTTCAATATCCTCCAACCAAAATTTTCAGGATTTTAGTTTCAATTGGTTTTTTCTTTCCAATTTTTCAATTCATTAATTTTTTTAGATATGCAAGTTTATGGATTTTTTGTTTTTCAATTTAACAAAAATCCTCAAATCCTCCATCAAAATCTTCAAATCCTCTACCAAAATCCTCAAATCCTTTACCAACATCCTCAAATCCTCGACGATAATCCTCACATCCCCAAAACAACAAAATCCTAAAAATACCAAAATCTTTAAATACTCATCAAATCACCAAAATCCAAATTTTGGAGGATTTTTTGATTGGATTCGCTTTTTCTTTCCATTTTTTCCATTCATTATATTTTTTTCGGTTTTTAGTTTTTCAATTTCAAAATCCTCAAATTCTCGACCAAAATCCTCAAATTTTAAAATCCTCAGAATCCTCAAAAGATCAAAATTCTCAACTAGTCAAAACACCAAAATCCTCAAATTCCCCAAACACCAAAAGCTCCAAATCCTCAAAACACCAAAATTCTCAAATCCTCAAAACAACAAGATCCTCAAAATACTAAAATCCTCAAATACTCAAGTCACGAAAATCCCCAAATCCTCAAAACTTCAAAATCCTCCAACCAAAATTTTCAGGATTTTGGTTTCAATTCGTTTTTTCTTTCCAATTTTTCAATTCATTAATTTTTTTAGACATGCAAGTTTATGGATTTTTTGTTTTTCAATTTAACAAAAATCCTCAAATCCTTTACCTACATCCTCAAATCCTCGACGATAATCCTCACATCCCCAAAACAACAAAATCCTAAAAATACCAAAATCTTTAAATACTCGTCAAATCACCAAAATCCAAATTTTGGAGGATTTTTTGATTGGATTCGCTTTTTCTTTCCATTTTTTCCATTCATTATATTTTTTTCGGTTGTTAGTTTTTCAATTTCAAAATCCTCAAATTCTCGACCAAAATCCTCAAATTTTAAAATCCTCAGGATCCTCAAAAGATCAAAATTCTCAACTACTCAAAACACCAAAATCCTCAAATTCCCCAAACACCAAAAGCTCCAAATCCTCAAAACACAAATTCTCAAATCCTCAAAACAACAAGATCCTGAAAATACTAAAATCCTCAAATACTCAAGTCACGAAAATCCCCAAATCCTCAAAACTTCAAAATCCTCCAACCAAAATTTTCAAGATTTTGGTTTCAATTCGTTTTTTCTTTCCAATTTTTCGATTCATTAATTTTTTTAGATATTCAAGTTTATCGATTTTTAGTTTTTCAATTTCAACAAAAATCCTCAAATCCTCAAATTCTCTACCAAAATCCTCAAATCCCCCACTAAAATCCTCAAATCTTTGAATCCTCGAATCCTCAAAATATCCAAATCTTCAACAACTGAAAACATTAAAATCCTCAAATACTCAAAATCCTCAAATCCTCAAAACGTCATAATCCTCAATTCCCCAAAACAATAAAATCCTGAAATCCTCCAAATACCAAAAGCCTCAAATCATCAAAACACCAAAATCCCCCAAATCAAAAAATCCTCATTCGATTCGTTCTTTCTTTCCAATTTTTCGATTCATTAATTTTTTTCGATTTTTAGTTTTTGAGTTTCAAAATCCTCAAATTCTCCACCAAAATTCTGAAATTTTCAAATCCTCAGAATCCTCAAAAGATGAAAATTCTCAAATACTCAAAACACCAAAATCCTCAAATACTCGAAACACCAAAATCCCCAACTCCTCAAATCACAATATTCTTAAAACACTAAACTCCTCCAACCAAAATTTTTAGGATGTTTTGATTGGATTCGTTTTCTCTTTCAATTTTTCGATTCATTAATTTTTGTTCGACTTTTAAGTTTATCGTTTAGTGTTTGAATATTTTGATTTTTCGTTTCTTTAGTTCTTCAATTTGCAGTTTTTCGATTTTCTAGTTTCTCGATTTTGCAATTTTTCAATTTTTCAAATTTTAGTTTTTTTTTGTTTCTTCAATTTTTGGATTTTTTAATCTTTCGTTTCTTCAAATTTTCGATTTTGCAATTTTTGGTTTTGAATTTTTATTTTCTTTATTTTTACACTTTTTCGATTTTTCAATGTTCGGATTTTATAATTTTTTGTATGTTTCAATTTTTGGATTAGAAATGTTTTGTTTTCGGTTTTTCAATGTTCAGATTTTAGTTTTTCCTTTTTCGGGGTGAAATTTTTCAATTTTTGGATTTCTCAATTTTCCGATTTGCAATTTTTGTTTTCAATTTTTCTAGTGTTCATTTTAAAGATGCAAAATTAATAATAATAATAATTTTGACGTTTGTATAATATTTCGATTTTTAAGTTTCCCTATTTTTAGCTTTTCAATGTTTGGATTTTTGGTTGCTTCAGTTTTTCAATTCGCAATTTTTCGATTTTCCACATTTTAGTTTTTCGATTTTTCAATTTTCGAATTAAAATGAAAAAATATAAAATGGAAACTTTGGAAAATCTAAAAATTGGCAAGAATTTGAAAAATTGGAAAATCAAAAAAACCTGAATTGAAAAAACGAAAATATGAAAAATGAAAAAACCAAAAATTGTGCTTTTAAAAAATTGCAAAATCGAAGAAAAAGAAAAACTACAAAACGTCAACATTTTGGGATGACGTCATCAGTTATTTGGGAGGGGATGAACAAATAAATTTTAGTTAATTTGATTATTCGATTTTGCAATTTCGAACTTAAATTGCAAAATGTTGTAGTACCATATTGATTTTTCGCGTTTTACAATCTACATTCTACACGACGGTCGTAGTACATACAAAATTTGACTACAATCGGTCCAGCAGTTTTTATGATTATCTGTGTAATAAAAAGGCAGACAGAAACGGGAGACTTATTTCTTCGTACTCTAAGTGTTATGAAAGTTAGTCGAAAATTAAAACGTTAAAAAAATATTTGAACTAATTTTATCGTTATCTTGGAACAGGGGATTACTTTCCGCAGAACACCTAATGATTACCTGTTGTAATTTTGTTGTGTCACGTTCTTAGAACACTTCTGGTGAACAGTTTTGGGCTCATTTCAGAAAATCCACCTTCCTATTTTACGAATGAACTCGTAATTGTGCCGCTTTTCAGAAATCTCGACTATACTACCGTGAAAGTAACGTATAGGCGTTCCAACTTCGTCCAGCTAACATCTCAGTTGTTAATAACCCATTCCGCCCGCAATCAAAGCCCACTTCGCCCCCACCCATATTTCACCTTTAATGAATATGCATGCCAAATGCAAATCCCCAGTCCCAGCGAAGTTCCATTCCTATTCCGTTTAATTCGCCTCCCAGGACCGATCCATAACCTCATCTAACTCAAAATTTCACAACAACAAGCACTTAGGCGTAATTCCCACCCATCCCGTCCTACTCAAAATTCATGTTCCGTTCAGAATATAAATAAGTGTTTTTTGTTGCAGGGTGGCTATCCGGCCAAACTTAAAAAGGTGCTCATAGTAACGGCCCCCTTGTGGTTCAAAGCCCCATTCAAAATTCTCCGTCTATTCGTGAGGGAAAAGCTCCGCGAACGAGTCTACACAGTCTCGGTAGCACAATTGTTGACGCACATACCCAGAGAATCTCTGCCTACCCAGCTTGGAGGCTCCCTCATCCTGGACCATAATGGTTGGCTATCGTTCTGTATGCAGTCAATGACCGCTCGGGAGGAATCGCCGCTGCCGCAGTACGGTTAGTAGCCCATTTTTAGACCTCAAAACGCACACGCATGAATTGCGCCGATAACGGCACATAAGATCCGCGGCATTTTTGACGCGCGCTTTTCCAGATGGCAAGACGCCATCCCCGCAGAAACGCATCCGTACACCCACAGAAATCGAGATTTCTTCATCGACCAATAACATAAACGTGGATAGTTGGACGGAGGAGGGCAACTTGAATCCGCCCAGTAGCGCGTCGAGCGGCTTCTCCGACGATGACTCTCTCCACGGCGACGGCGCCGCCCTCACTATGCCCCAGCTGGTCGACTACGTTAGGGACAGAGGGCGCTCCGGGCTCATGCAGGAGTACGCCGAGATCCGGTCCAGGCCCCCCGATGGGACGTTTAACGTGGCCAAAATGAAAAACAACTTGCCGAAAAACCGCTATACTGACGTGTTGTGCTACGATCATAGTAGAGTGATTCTTTCGGAAATCGATAGTGATAAAGACAGTGATTATATTCACGCCAACTTCGTCGATGGGTACAAGCAGAAGAATGCTTTTATCAACACGCAAGGTAGGTGGAGACGGCTCGCTTCGCTCGCCCTCGATATTTCACAAAAATCTGTCGTTGTAGGTCCGCTGCCTAAGACGACGAACGAATTTTGGCGAATGATATGGGAACAACACACCTTAGTTATAGTTATGACGACTAGAGTGATGGAAAGAGGGCGTCCGAAATGCCACCAGTACTGGGAAACCGAGGCTGGTGGCGAAGCAACTTATGGTCAATTCACGGTGAAAACGATAGCTGTTGAGCCGGATCCGGATTACACAGTTACCACGATCAACCTTATCAACAACAAAGTAAGTCATTTTTTTCGCAGCGGCAAAAATTTCTTAATTATAGCCCGTTTACCGAACAGATGGAGTGACCACGTGCGCATAATGTGTCTAAAATTGCCAGTATTATATGTAATTCTTGTTACTACTCTAAAACTAACGATAAAAGTTAACTGTTAAAAGTCAGGTTTTGTCAAAGTCAGGTCACGTCAAGATATTCTCGGATCTTAAGTTAGTATATTGTTTAAAATGTATCAAGTCTCGTGCCAAGTCAGGTCATCTTTAGGTCATGTTCAAGTCCGATAATGTCAATGTTTCATTACGTCAATGTTTCATTACGTCAAGTCAGGTCATGCCAAAGTCATTAAGTCAAGTTGGGTATTCTCAGAATCGGGACGTGTCAAGCCACGTCAAATTCAGGTAATGTTAAGTCAGGTCATCTCAGTCAGGCTATGTCAAAATTATGTATTATTAAATCAGGTCATCTCAGAGTCAAGTAATGAAAAAGTCAGTTAATGCAAAGTCAGGCCATGTCAAAATCAAATCACTTCAAAGGCACGTAATGTCAGAGTCTAGTCCCGTCAAAGTCAGGTCATGTCAAATTCTGGCCAGGTCAAGCCAAGACATGTGAAATCCACGTCATATTGAGTTAGGACATGCTTGTTCAAGCCATGTCAACGCCAGATCATGTCAATGGTTTATCATGTTTTATTGAAGTCAGATCATGTTATATCAAGTCAGGTCTTCTCAAAATCGGGACGTATCAAGTCAGGCCACGTCAAAATTAGGTGGTATTAAGTCTAGTCATCTCAAAGTCAAGTCATGGTAAAGTTAGATAATGTAAAATCAGGCCATGTCGAAGTCAGGTCGATTCACAATTAGACCGTCATGTCAAATTCTGCTCATGTCAAATCAAGACATGTCAATGCCGGATCATGTCAAGTTTGATAGTGTCAAGTCACGCCAGATCTAGTTAGATCATCTCAAAGTTTGGTCATGTCAAAGTCAGATCATGTCTAGATAGGTAATGTTAAGTCAGATTATCTCAAAGTCAGGGCATGTCAAAATTAGGTCTTATTAAGTCAGATCATCTCAGAGTTAAGTCATGACAAAGTCAGTTAATGTAACATCGAGCTATGTCAGAATCAGCTCGCCTCAAAATCAGATCACTTCAAGTCACATCATGTTAAGGTCAAGTCATGTCAAAAGTCAGGTCATTTTGAGTTCAGATCACTTCAAGTCACATCCTGTCAAATTTTGCTCATGTCAAGTCAAGACATGTCAAGTCCACGTCATATTGAGTCAGGTCATGTTAGTTCAACCCATGTCGATGCCAGATCATGTCAAGTCAGACCAGATCTGGTTAGATCATCTCAAAGTTTGGTCATGTCAAAGTCCATGTCAATTCAAGTCATGTCAACGGCAAATCATGTCAAGTCAGGTCATCTCAAAGTCAGGCCTTGTCAAAATTAGGTCTGATTGAGTCAGATCATCTTAGAGTCAAGTCATGACAAAGTCAGTTAACGTAAAATCAGGCCATGTCAAAATCAGCTCGACTCAAATCAGATCACTTCAAGTCACGTCATGTCAAATTCTGCTTCAAGTCACTTCATGTCAAAGTGAAGTTATGTCAGAGCCAGATCATGTCAAGTTTGATAGTGTCAAGTCAGGCCAGATCTAGTTATTTAGATCACCTCAAAGTTTGGCCATGTCAAAGTCAGATCATGTTAACTCAGGTAATGTTAAGTCAGATCATCTCAAAATCAGGGCATGTCAAAATTAGATCATATTAAAGACAAGTGATCTCAGAGTTAAGTCATGACAAAGTCAGTTAATGTAACATCAAGCCATGTCAGAATCAGCTCGCCTCAAAATCAGATCACTTCAAGTCACATCATGTTAAAGTCAAGTCATGTGAAAAGTCAGGTCATGTTGAGTTCAGATCACTTCAAGTTACATCCTGTCAAATTCTGCTGTTGTCAAGTCAAGACGTGTCAAATCCACGTCATATTGTGTTAGGTCATGTTAGTTCAACCCATGTCGATGCCAGATCATGGCAAGTTATATAATGTCAAGTTAGGCCAGATCTAGTTAGATCACCTCAGAGTTTGGTCATGTCAAAGTCTATGTCAATTCAAGGCATGTCAACGCCAAATCATGTCAAGTCAGGTCATCTCAAAGTCAGGCCGTGTCAAAATTAGGTCTGATTAAGTCAGGTCATCTAAGAGTCAAGGCATGACAAAGTCAGTTAATGTAAAATCAGATCATGTCAAAATGAGCTCGACTCAAATTATGTAGATCATTTCAAGTGACGTCGTATCAAATTCTGCTCAGGTCAAGTTAAGACATGTTAAATCCACGTTATATTGAGTTAGGTCATGATAATTCAATCCATGTCAACGCCGGATGAAGTCAAGTCTGGTAGTGTCAAGGCAGGCTAGATCTCGTCAGGTCATCTCAAAGTCAGGCCATGTCAAAATTAGGTCTTACTGTGAGGTCATCTCAGAGTCAAGTCATGACAAAATTGTCAGTTAATGTAAAATCAGGTCATGTCCAAATAAGCTCGACTCAAAATCAGATCACTGTCAAAGTCAAGTCATGTCAAAAATCAGGTAGTGTAAAATCCAGTCATGTTAAAGTCATATTATTCCAAGTCACGTCCTGTCAAATTCTGCTCAGGTCAAATCAAGCCATGTCAACGCCGAATCATGTCAAGTTTGATAGTGTCAAGTCAGGACAGATCTAGTTAAATCATCTCAAAGTCAGGCCATGTCAAAATTAGGTCTTATTAAGTAAGGTCCTCTCAGAGTCAAATCATGACAAAGTCAGTTAGCGTAAAATCAGGCCATGTCAAAATCAGTTCGACTCAAATCGGATCACTTCAAGTCACGTCATGTCCAATTCTGCTCAGGTCAAATCAAGACATGTCAAATCCACGTCATATTGAGTTAAGTCATGATAGTTCAACCCATGTCAGCGCCGGATCATGTCAAGTTTGATGGTATCAAGTCAGGCCAGATTTCGTCAAGTCATCTCAAAGTCAGGCCATGTCAAAATTAGGTCTTACTGTGAGATCATCTCAGAGTTAAGTCATGACAAAATTGTCAGTTAATGTAAAATCAGGTCATGTCCAAATAAGCTCGACTCAAAATCAGATCACTGTCAAAGTCAAGTCATGTCAAAAATCAGGTCCTGTAAAATCCGGTCATGTTAAAGTCATATCATTCCAAGTCACATCCTGTCAAATTCTGCTCAGGTCAAATCCACGTCATATTGAGTTAGGTCATGTTAGTTCAACCCATGTCAATGTCAGATCATGTCAAGTCAGACCAGATCTGGTTAGATCATCTCAAAGTTTGGTCATGTCAAAGTCCATGTCAATTCAAGTCATGTCAACGCCAAATCATGTCAAGTCAGGTCATCTCAAAGTCAGGCCATGTCAAAATTAGATCTTATTAAATCAGGCCACTTTAAGTTACGTCATGTCATGTCCACGTCATATTGAGTTAGGTCATGTTTGTTCAATCCATGTCAACGCCAGATCATCTCAAGTCAAGCCAGATCTAGTTAGGTCATCTCAAAATTAAGTCTTATTAAGACAGGTCATCTCAGTCAAGTCATGACAAAGCCAGTTAATGTAAAATCACGCCATGTCAAAATCAGCTCGATTCAAAATCAGGTTACGTCAAGTCGCGTCATGACAAAGTCAAGTCATGTCAAAAGTCAGGCCATGTAAAATCCAGTCATGATAAAGTCAGTGTCAGATTCTGCTCATTTCAAGTCAAGACATGTCAAATCTACATCATATTAAGTTAGGTCATGTTAGTTCAACCCAAGTCAGCGCTAGATCATGTCAAGTTAGATATTGTCAAGTCAGACTAGATCTAGTTAGGTCATCTCAAAGTTTGGTTATGTCAAAGATCATGTCAATTCAAGCCATGTCAACGAAAATCATGTCCAGTCAGGTAATGTTAAGGCAGGCCATCCCAAAGTCAGGCCATGTCAAAATTAGGTCTTATTATGTCAGGTCATATCAGAGTCAAGCCATGACAAAGTCAGTTCATGTAAAATCAGGCCATGTCAGAATCAGTTCAACTCAAATCAGATCACTTCAAGTCACGTCATGTCAAAGTCAAGTCATGTCAAAAGTCAGGTCATGTAAGATCCGTTCATGTTAAAGTCAGATCATTCCAAGTCACGTCATGTCAGATCTACGTCATATTCCGTTAGATCATGTTAGTTCAACCTATCTCAACGCCAGATCATGTCAAGTTAGATAGAGTCAGGTCAGGTCATGTCAAAGTCCATGTCAATTCAGGCCATGTCAAGTTAGGTCTTATTAAAGTCAGATCATGTTAAAGTCTAGTTAATCAAGTCAGATCTTCTCAGAATCGCGTCATGTCAAGTCAGACCTTGTTAAAATTAGGTCTTTAAGTCAGGTCATTTCAAAGTCAATTTATGACAAAGTCACCGAATGTAAAATCAGGCCCTGTCAAAGTCAGTTTGACTCAAAATCATATGACTTCAAGTCACGTCATATCGAAGTCAGGTTATGTCAAATCAGGTCATGTAAAATCCGGTCATTTCAAAGTCAGATTCACTCCAAGTTACGTCATCTCAAATTCTGCTCAAATTGAGTCAAGACAGGTCAAAGTCCGGTTATGTTAATGTTTCATTATGTCAAGTCGGGTGTTCTCAGAATCGGGTCATGTCAAGTCAGGCCATGTCCAAATTAGGTCTATTAAGTCAGCTTGACTCAAAATCAAATCACTTCAAGTCATATCATGGCAAGATTAGATAACATCAAAGTCATGCAATGTCAAGGCAGGTCATGTAAAATCCGGTAATGTCAAAGTCAGATGACTCCAAGTCACGTCATGTCATTATTTCATCGTGTCAAACCATGTCTTATTAAAGTCAAATCATGTCAAAATTACGTCATATTAAGTCAGGGCATGCCAGTCAGGTCACGTATTAAGTCAAGTCATTTTTCGCAACTTAAGTTCAAGTCAGATCAGATCAGAACGAGCCAGGTCATCTCAAGTCAGGTGATGTATAATCGAGTTACGTCATGTCATGTCAAAATTCAGGTGATGTGAAAGTTAGGTTCAGTAAAGTCATTTTTCAGATCTTCAGTTCGTGTATGTTTTAAATAGTGTTATTTTTGCTACATTAATTTTTCTATCAATTTCGTGACAATTTTCTTTCTCACCCATACATGTCAACGTTAAGTTACATAAAGTCAGGTCATGACAAAGTCAAATAAAGTCATTTTTCGGATCTTAAGTTCGTATATTGTCATGGCAACTCATATCATGTCAAGTGAGGTCATCTCAGTCAGGTAATGTAAACTCAGGTTATGTCAAAGTCATGTTAAGTCAAATTCGGTCATGTCAAAGTCAGGTCACTCCAAGATACGTCAAACTCAGATCATTTTAAGTTGGGTCATGTCGGTTCAAGCCATATCAACGCCAGATCAAGTCAAGTCAGGCCATGTCAAAGTCTGGTTATATCAGGTCAGGTCTTCTCAGAATCGGGTTCTCAAGTCAGGTCATGTTATGTCAAAATCCTGTCATATCGTGTCAAAGTCAGGTCTTAATTGATTCACGTAAGTCTCACGTAGTGAGACCATATCAAGTTAGGTAATGTAAAATCAAGCAATGTCAAAGTCAGCTCGAGCAAAAATCAGATTTCTTCAAGTCACGTCATGTCAAATTCTGCTCGAGTCGAGTCAAGACACGTCAAATTTAGGTCATTTTAAGATATCTATATCAGGTCATCTGAAAGTCAGGTAATGTAAACTCAGGCCATGTCAAAATTAACTCGATCAAAAATCAAATCACTTCAAGTCACCTCATGTCAAAGTCAGGTGTTATCAAAGTCATGTTATATAAAAATTCGGTTATGTTAAAGTCAGGTCACTTCAAGACACGCCAAATTCAGCTAACATTAAGTCTGGTTATGTCAGAATTGGATTCTCAAGTCAGGTCGTGTCATTTCAAAATCATGTCATGTGTCAAAATCAGGTCAGGTCAGGTCATGTGTCGGATCTTAAGTTGTAATGTAAAATGAGCTGTCAGTCAGCTCGAGTCAAAATCAGATGACTTCAAGTCACGTCATGTCAAATTCTGTTCAAGTCGAATCAAGGCACGTTAAATTCAGGTCATTTTAAGATATCAAATCAAGCCATGTGAGGTCTGGTAATGTTAAGTCGGGTCATCTGAAAGTTAGGTTATGTCAAAATTTCATCAAGTCCAGTCTAATCAAAATCAGGTCTGAGTTTATAAAATTTTTACCTCAAAAGACAAGGATCACTGTGAAATAATTCATCACAATTTTTTTTTTAGACCATAATCTAAAAGTTTGCCACTGGTTGACTTTAAAATCTTCAATAATAAAAGAAAAAGTTCCATGTTGAAAATTTCAATACACTTTTTGTCCAAGTAATGAAGAAAGATTTTTTTTGGTGGAAATTTGAAAACACTTAGTGTAGCAAAAATGACATTGTTAGAATCAGTAGTGTTTGGTTAAATTATAGTTAAAAATCTAAGACAAAATTTTGAATAGTTTTTGAAATATGACGTCCTAAAGCACCAAAAAGGGCAATTTTAAAATCATGAAAATTCAAGAATATTTCGATTCACTGCGAAACTTGAATATACGAAAATGAAATTTTAACATGAATAGAAACGAAAAGATAATGAAGATCTTAGATAGATTGGTATATTTTTGATAACTGACAACCCCGCCGCGATTCCCCCACATAAACCACATCTTTTACGGCTTTTCTACGCCGCCAAGTCGAACCGGAACGCACTTCAAATTTTTATTCACGTGTAATTCTCCTAACTTAACACCGATCAAACCACTCCGTTAATCGCGCAAAACCCACAAACGACGCAAAATGTCAGCCCATAAAAACAAACGACCTGATTTTCTGGCTTGTTGACTCAGCCCGCATACCGGAAGCAAATTCTCCACCGTCCCAGAAACTCCGACGCACTAGCTAATTAGCCACTCACACGTGGACGCCGACTTCAAAGGTCATCCACGAGCTCCAGTGAACCGTAACCCGGCCTTTCGAAGGACGCGACGCGAATTTTGATGGGTCATGAAACACCTATTATTAACCACACACCAACACCCCCATTTTTTTTCCAGACCGACGAGTCCAGGGAGGTCTCGCACTGGCAGTTCACCTCGTGGCCCGACTACGGAGTCCCGCGCTCCGCCAAGGCCATGCTCGAGTTCCTGGAGCGGGTGCGGAGGAAACAGAACGCCATGGTGGTGGCGCTGGGCGATACGTGGGCGGGGCACCCGCGGGGGCCGCCCATCGTGGTGCACTGCAGCGCGGGGATTGGGCGAACAGGTACAGTAGAAAAATCGCCCGTGGATTGAAGTGAGTGATTGGTGGTGTGTTTTAGGTACTTTTTGTACGCTGGACATCTGCATATCCCGGCTGGAGGACCTGGGGACGGCGGATATCCGAGGGACGGTCGAACGAATCCGCTCACAACGCGCATATTCCATCCAAATGCCTGACCAGTACATTTTCTGCCACCTCGCTTTGATAGAGTATGCTCTTATGAAGGGGCATCTGCAGTCGGCGGACCTGACTGGGTTCGACCCGGGTGCGGATGACGATTCGGATTAAGTTGTTATTAGTTGTGCTTTAAATTCCAAAATGTGAAGTGAATGTATTGTTAAAGGGCGATTATTTATTTTTTAGTTGTATTGTCAAACAATTTATCAGTCTTTTGTTGTCTCGAACAAGTTCCTTGTACAGAAGATGGTTTGTTTGGAGGAGAAACGTTAAGTTTGCTTTTAAAGGAGGGGGAGTAGACGTGGATGTGGTCGTACGACTTGTGATTTTAGGTGAATCTTGCAGGTTACTGCGATTTTACATATCTTCCTTTGTTTTTTCGCCGTGGTTGTCGCAGAAATAAAAATAGAGCTATCTTGTAATATGACATTCAAGCGATTGTTTGAAATATTACAGGTTTATTTTTATATCCTAATCCGATAGATGTGAATGTACCTACAACCATTGAAACTATAAAGTTTATTGTTGAATTTAACGCTTCCTTATCAAAAGATGTACTAAATAATTCATAGGTAGACTAAATCGAGTTCTTGATCTTGAACTTTACTATAAAGACTGTCCAATTTTAAATAAAAGCGTGTACTACTTCTACTTGTTTATGAGCTATTTTGAATAGAAACCCCGATTGCGTTGACGTTGAGTTTACCAACTTCCATTACGAGGTTATAAGCCAAAATACTAGGTTTAATCGGATCTTTTGATCCCTAATAACTTTTGTGTACTAAGTATTATTTTCATTATTGTGACATAGTTGAATTTATCGAAACCTGTGTATTGTAAATATTGTATTCTGATTTCTTAATACAAAACGCTTTTTATACCATCTTTTATTTAAAAACCAAGCGAGATCTTTGGCCTAATTTAAAATCGCACTTCCACTACACAACAAAAAAGTATAAAATTATCAACAATAAAATATCACCGAAATAAGTACTTAAAGCTTAGATTTAAGTGTGACCGCGCGCTCCTTCAAATGCCTCCTGAGAATCTTCCCCGTGGGATTCCGAGGAATTTCGTCCACGAACACAACGCCCCCTCGTATCTGCTTTTGGGACGAAACGTTATCTACAAAGAAATCGATAAACCACGGATACCAACCCAACAACAAAACAAACCTGCGACGAATTTGATTAATTCTTTTTCTGAGGTAGTTTTGCCCGGTTTTTTCACCACAAATGCGAGCGGTAGTTCCCCGGCCCGTTCGTCCGGCAAGCCGATAACAGCGGCATCTGCCACCGCCGGGTGAGTAATTAACAGCGCCTCCAACTCCGCTGGCGCCACCTGATAACCCTTATATTTAACCAATTCTTTAATCCTGTCAACGATGTAAAAGTAGCCATCGTCGTCGTAGTAGGCCACGTCGCCCGTGTGTATCCACCCATCCTTGTCTATCGTGTTGGCGGTAGCTACCGGGTCCCCGATATACCCCTTCATTATCAAAGGTCCCTTGAAACAAATTTCGCCCTCTTTATACGGACCTAGGGCTTTGCCGTCGTCGCCGATCACCTACCACACAATTTTTTTTTAATAATAACTCGGAACAAATAATGGAGTGATTACTTTGGCCATCATTCCTGGAACGATTTTCCCAACTGATCCCACTTTTGTGACCCCCAAAGGGCTCACTAGAACCCCCAAAGTGGTCTCCGTCATGCCATACCCTTGAGACACGTGTTTCACTTTGAAGCGCTCCTTCAGTTCTCGTTCCATGTCTTTCCCCATGGGGGCAGCACCCGTCCGGATTTCCTCGATGCCGGAGAGGTCGTATTGTTTGGTTAAAGGGTGCTTCAGAAGCACCAACATGACTGGTGGCGGCACTACCAACCGTTTTATCTATGACACAATTGTATATTTTTTTTGTTTTTTTTTTAAGCTGATTTAAAATAATGTACCCTGTATTTGATTAGTGCGTCTAAGAAAACCTTCGTCTTGAATTTGGTCAAGACGGCCATTTTTTTGCCGCGCAGAAGGTTCAGGAACATCAACATGAAACCCATGGAGTGGAAAAATGGCGCCAGGCCCATCATGGCGTCGCTGGGGTCGTCGTTCTCGACGATTTGGGCCACCGTGGTTCTGACAAAATATGTAAAGTAAATTTGTTAAGTAGGAAAGGTGGCGTTTTTACTTCGTAAAAGCTAAGGAAATTTTATAAAATAACACTCGTATATGTTTTTGTATACCTAATACCTAATCCTACCTAAAATGTGCAAAGTCTATACTTGTGATTTATCACTGCATTCATATGTATTTTTCAGAACTGCTTATACAGGTGATTCCAAAAGAAGCTGGATTTGTTGAATTGTGCCCCATGGGCGAGGTAAGTTCTGTCTAATAAATAGCTTTGGACCAATTTTTTTATTTTGTATTTTTTTTTTGATTTTTTAGTTTTATATTTTTACATTTCTTCGATTTCTCAATTGTCTGGTTTTTAATCAATAAATTTTTCAATTATCAGATTTTCCAATTTCTCGATGATTATTTTAGTAGTTTAATACATACTTGAATTTTAGAACTTTTTCGGTTTAAATTTTTTAGATTTTTCAATTTTTGATTTTACAGCTGAGATTTTTCGACTTAATGCTTCAATTTTACGATTTTGTAATTTTTTGATTTTTAATTTCCGGAATTTCATTGTTTCGATTTTCTGATTTTTGATTTAATACTTCAAAATTTCCATGTCCAATTTTAAAATTACAAGATTTTTCGGTTTTGTAATTCTGCAAATATTTTTGATTTTTTACGTTTATATTTTTACAATTTTTCGATTTCTCAACTGTCCAGTTTTTAATGAATCAGTTTTTCAATGATCAGATTTTCCAATTTCTCGATTTTTCAATGTTTTGGTTTTGGAATCCTTCGATTTCTCAATTTTACAATTTTTTAATTTTTAATTGTTGAAAATTTTAATTTTTCAGTTTAATTATATTACTCCTCTACAATTTTTCTATTTTACATTTTTACAACATTGTGAATGTCTCAATTATACGGTTTTTAATTAATCAATTTCTGAATTTTCAATTTTTCAAGTTTTTGATTTTCAATTCCACAATTTCGCGATTTTTGGATTTTTAAATTTTGTAATTTTTCTATAATTTTGCAAATTTTTGATTTTTCTGTCTTGTACATTTACAATGTTTCGATTTCTCAACTCTACAGTTTTTAATAATCAGTGTTTCAATTATTACATTTAAAAAAAAATCGGTTTTGGAATCTTTGGATTTTTCATTTTTATAGTGTAATAAATTTTGCAATTTTTCAATTTTGTTGTTTGACAATTTTTCAATTTTTTTGCGTTTATTGTTCAATGTTTCAATTTTAATTTTCCAAATTTTTGATTTTTCAATTTCATAACTTTGCAATTCTTCGGTTTTTCAATTTTGTAATTTTGCAATTAATTTTTATTTTTCAGGTTTATATTTTAACAATTTTTCGATTTCTCGACTCTCCAGTTTTAATGGATCAGTTTTTCAATTATCAGATTTTCGAATTTCCCGGTTTTTCAATTTTTTGGTTCTGGAATTCTCCGATTTTTCAATTTAATAATTTTGCAATTTTTCATTTTTAGTTTCATAAATTTTCGAGTTTACAATTATCCAATTTTTGAATTTTGAGGTTTCACAATTTTTCAATTTTTTTGCTCTTTATTGTTCCAAATTTCAATTTTAATTTTTAAAATTTTTTATTTTTCAATTATCCCAATTTCACTGTTTTGATTTTGTAATTTAATATTTTCAAATTTCCAATTTCAATTTTCCAGGTTTTTGATTTTTCAAGTTCATAATTTTGCATTTCTTCGGTTTTTCAATTTTGTTATTTTGCAATTATTTTTGATTTTTCAGGTTTATAAATTTTTACAATTTTTCGATTTCTCGACTGTACAGTTTTTAATGAATCAGATTTTCGAATTTCTCGATTTTTCAATTTTTTGGTTCTGGAATCCTTCGATTTTTCAATTTAATAATTTTGCAAATTTTCATTTTTACAGTTTTATAAATTTTCGAGTTTACAGTTATCCAAATTTTCAATTCGAAATGTCACAATTTTTTAATTTTTAATTGTCAAAATTTTAATTTTAATTTTTCAAATTTTTGATTTTTCATCTTTCTGAATTTTCTCTTGCATTTATACAATATTTCGGATGTCTCAATTATACAGTATTTCATTAATCAATTTCTGAATTTTCAATTTTATAATTCTTCGTTTTTTTAATTTTGCGTTTTTTCAATCATTGTTTTTAATTTTAATTTTTTTAAATTTCAATTTTTTGATCATCGATTTCACAATTTCGCAATTTTTCGATTTTTAAATTTTGTTATTTTCCTATTTACAATTTTTCGATTGTCAACTTTGTAATTTTGCGAATTTTTGATTTTTCTGTCTTATAAATTAACAATGTTTCGATTTCTCAATTCTACAGTTTTTAATGAATCAGTGTTTCAATTACCAGATTTAAAAAAAAAATCGATTTTGCGATCATTCGATTTTGCATTTTTCAATTATTCATTTTTTTAATTTATAATTTTGCAATTTTTCATTTTTACAGTCTAATAAATTTTCGAGTTTACAATTATCCAATTTTTCAATTTTGTAGTTTCACAATTTGTCAATTTTTTTTTTCCAAATTTCAATTTGAATTTTTCAAATTTTTTATTTTTCAATTATCCAAATTTCACTGTTCTGATTTTTTTATTTAATATTTCCAAATTTCGAATTCAAATTTTCCAGGTTTTTGAGTTTCTAATTTCATAATTTTGCAGTTCTTTGGTTTTTCAATTTTGTAATTTTGCAATTATTTTTGACTTTTCAGGTTCATACTTTTACAATTTTTCAATTTCTCGACTGTCCAGTTTTTCAATTATCAGATTTTCGAATTTCTCGATTTTTCAATTTTTCGGTTTTGGAATCCTTCGATTTTTCGAGTTTACAATTATCCAAATTTTCGAGTTTATAGTTGTCCAAATTTTCAATTTGAAATTTTACAATTTTTTAATTTTTATTGTTCAAAATAAATTTTAATTTTGCAAGTTTTTGATTTTTTAGTTTAATTATATTACAATTCTTCTATTTTGCTTTTTTTACACTATTTTTGGATGTCTCAATTATACAGTTTTTAATTAATCAATTTCTGAATTTTAAATTTTATAATTCTTCGTTTTTCCAGTTATAGTTTTTGTATTTCATTTTTCAAAATTTCAATTTTCAATTTTTCGATTTTTAAATTTTTGTAATTTTTGAATTTACAATTTTTCGATTTTCAACTTTGTAATTTTGCAAATTTTTAATTTTTCTGTCTTATACATTTACAATGTTTCGATTTCTCAATTCTCCATTTTTAATAATTAATCAGTTTTTCAATTATCAGTTAAAAAAATTTTTGGTTCGATTTTTTATTTTTCAATTGCTCGTTTTTTCAATTTATAAATTAATTGTTCAAAATTTTAATTTTTTGATTTAATATTTCAAAATTTCCATTTCCAATTGTCCAAGTTTTTGATTTTTCATGTTTATATTTTAACAATTTTTCGATTTCTCGACTGTCCAGTTTTTAATGAATCAGTTTTTCAATTATCAGAATTTCCCAATTTCTCAAATTTTTTAAGTTCTCCAATTCTTCAATTTAATAATTTTGCAATTTTTCATTTTTTGATAAATTTTCGAGTTTACGATTATCCAAATTTTCAATTTTATAATTCTTCGTTTTTTAAATTTCACGTTTTTTGATTTTTAATTTTTCGAAATTCAATTTTCAATTATTTGATTTTTAAATTTTGTAATTTTTCTATTTACAATTTTTCGATTTTCAACTTGGTAATTTTGCAATTTTTTTATTTTTCTGTCTTATACCTACATTTACAATATGTACTTCGATTTCTCAATTCTCCAGTTTTTAATAATCAGTTTTTCAATTATCAGAGTTAAAAATTTTTTTGGTTTTGGAATCCTTCGATTTTTCAGTTTTCAATTGTTCGTTTTTTTCATTTTTACAGATTAATAAATTTTCGGCTTTTCAATTTTTATCCAATTTTGTAGTTTACAATTTTTCAATCTTTTGGCCTTTTATTGTTCAAAATTTCAATTTTGATTTTTCAAATTTTTGATTTTTCAGTTTAATTATTTTAAAATTTGTCGACTTGTCAATTTTACATTTTTACTATTTTTCGATGTCTCAATTATTCGGTTTTTAATTAATCAAATTCTAAGTTTTCAATTTCATAATTCTTCATTTTTTAATATCTCGTTTATCCAAAAAATCAAATTTTGATTTTTCAGTTGACCGAATTTCATTTTTTCGATTTTTAATTTTTCAAAATTTCCATTTTCAGTTTCATAATTTCGCAAATTTTCAATTTTGTAATTTTTTATTTTTCTGTATTATATTTTTACGATTTTTCATTTCTCAATTATCCGAGTTTCGTTGTTTTGATTTTACAATTTTAGATTTTTAATTTTTCAAAATTTCGATTTTCAATTTTGTAGTTTTTCAATTGTTTTCAATTATGTATCCTATTTTTCAACTTTTCGATTTTAAAATTATTCGATTTTCAATTTTATATTTATGCAGTTTTTAAGTTTTACAGTTTAATAATTTTTCAAAATTTCAATTTTCTATTTTTCAAGTTTTTGATTTTCAATTTCACAATTTCGCGATTTTTGAACTTTTAAATTTTGTAATTTTTCTGTTTTACAATTTTTCGATTTTCAACTTTGTAATTTTGCAAATTTTTGATTTTTCCGACTTATACATTTACAATGTTTCGATTTCTCAATTCTCCAGTTTTTAATGAATCCGTTTTTCAATTATTAGATTTAAAAAAAATTCTGTTTTGGAATCCTTCCATTTTTCATTTTTCAGTTGTTCGTTTTTTCAGTTTATAATTTTGCAATTTTTCGTTTTTACAGTTTAATAAATTTTCGGCTTTACAATTATCCAATTTTGCTGTTTTACAATTTTTCAATTTTTTTGCTTTTTATTGTTCAGAATTTCAATTTTAATTTTTCAAATTTTGGAATTTTCGAATTGTCAATTTTACATTTTTACTATTTTTCGATGTCTCAGTTATTCGGTTTTTAATTAGTCAGATTCTGAGTGTTCAATTCCATAATTCTTCGTTTTTCAAATGTGTCGTTTTTCCAAAAATTCAAATTTTGATTTTTCAGTTAGCCGAATTTCATTGTTTCGATTTTCCAATTTCGATTTTTAACTTTTCAAAATTTCAATTTTCAGTTTTTGATTTTACAGTTTCATAATTTCGCAAATTTTCTATTTTGTAATTCTTTTTCTGTTTTTATTTTTACGATTTTTGATTTCTCAATTATCCGAATTTCGTTGTTTTGATTTTCCAATTTGATTTTTAATTTCTCAAAATTTTGATTTTCAATTTTTTTCAACTTTTCGATTTTAAAATTATCGATTTTCAATTTTATATTTATGCAGTTTTACAGTTTAAAAATTTTTAAATTCTATAATTCTGCGACTTTTTTTAATTTTTTACTGCTGTTTTTATATTTTTTGATTTCTCAATTTGTCAAAAAATTTAACCTATAGAGGTTATCATAAATAAAAGTTCGCAAAATCAAATTTTATTATTTTTCAAAGAAACGGGATTTGTTCGACTGTACTTCAAATGGCACGGAAGTTTTGTCGAAATAACCTTCAACCAATTTAAAAAACCATAAATTAAAAAAAAGTTCGACTCCATAAAATAAATTACGTTGATAAGAGTCGTCAACCAAGTCATAAAATTTTATGAATATACAAAACTATTAGCTGTTTTTTTACCTCATAACGTCGATATAAACCGTCATACTTTCATGAGTGCACATGACGCCTTTCGGCAAGCCTGTGGTTCCCGAGGACATCAAAATCGTCGCTATGCTTTCTGTTGGCTCCACTGGAGTGGCCTGGAAGCTTTCGTCTATATTGTCGGGATCGGCTCCTGCGATTCTCGAATTTAGGGATTTTGTCGCGTTGGGGTTGGATTTTACCTGCTACGATGTCGTCAAGCATGGTCACTTTTTTGTGGTTAAGTTTCTTCTTACCGAAGAGGACGATGTGCTGGAGGAATGGATGTTCCGGCAAGACACGTGTCATTTTTTGGATGGTTTGGGGCGAGCAGAAAACCACCCTTGGTTTAGATAGGCCGAGAACATGTTTCAGCTCGCCTGTAGTAAAATTTAGTTACTTATAGTTGGCATTGATTTTCAGTATTACCAAATATAACTTCAATTAATTTACATGCTTAAGTTTATGGCTGTTATAGTTAGCGTTGGTTTTCAGTGTTACCAAACGTAACTATTACAAAAAAAAAAAAAACTGATATAACAGTTTATGGTCTTTATGATTTTTTTTTTAAATTAACCTTATTGCTTATCAATAAATTTACAATTTTAAGTTTATGACTGGACATTAAATAACCAATAAAGAAATATATAACAACTGTTATTATTATGTAAAGTCACGCTGCGACCTTCAATTCAAAGTTCAATTGTTTATTGATGATTAGATAAAACGAGATTTCTGTAACTCATAGTCATTTAAACAAACGACGTCATAAAGTCACATAGACAAAAATTGATATGATGGAAGACCTCTTCTCATACCATAAGTATGAATGAGATTATTTATTAAATTCACGCGTTATCATGATGTACTCACCTGGAGTATAATCAGGGTTCAGGGGGGCAAATACTAATCCTGCTAAAAATGTGGCTACAGTAACAACAGCAAATTCTAGCCTATTTTCGCTAATAATCGAAATTGATTCTTGAGCGTTAACACCTATACTTCTGAACCACTCTGCTATTTTAATGGCTCGGCTAAGCAATAAATTGGCGGGCAATTCTTCATCTGTGGCAGCATCAACCTAAACATTAAACAATCATAAGAACAAGTGTACAATTAATAATTAATTTGAATGGCATTTTTACATTATTAATGAAGACCAAAATACACTTACTTGTAAAACATTATCACAGTGCGTTTTCAGTAAGAGTAGCAACAATTCCCCTAAAGAGCCTTCCAGAAACCGTTCTAATTCAGGTCCCACGAGAACGTTTTGTTCGGTTTCTGTCATTTTTGCGGCACCTGTGGAAAGTAAAACAATCACTGCAGTGTAAAGTTTGGAAGTGATAACAACAAACTTAAAAACAATACTTAAGTAGCCCCCACTCCTACTCAAATTAGCGTGTCATTATTTTGTTGTGTTATCAACTTGACGGTTATTAAAAAAAAACTCAAGGAAACATAATTATGCAACAAAAAATCATCACTATATTGTTGAAAAGCATAGATAGCAACAATGGGGTACCAACAATTAAAACAAGTGTGTCATGACTATGTATGTGTGGGTTTTAAGTACCATAAACATGGAATTAATGCTATATTTAGAAAAATACATTACCTGAATTGTGAGCGGCTTTTTAGCATGTAGGTTGCACTTTAGGTTAGGTTTGAGCTTCAGAAAATGTCAATAAAATGTCATACGATTTACGCAACCAATGAGAAGCGTTGTTGTGGTACGAAGGTTACGCCTATTTTGAGGCAGTGGCGTTGCAGGCGCCTGAACTTATGGACTTTGGTTTATTTTAATTTGCACTGTAATAATTACTTCTCCTAAAAAATGATTATAGTCGTTATCACTGTACTTACAGTAAATTATTGTCTTCAGTTTAGTAAATAATTGATTTATTATATTTTTAAAATGTAATTTATTACTATTATTTGTAAATAGAATTAGTATTAAGGTAGCATTACAATCAACAAATTTAAAGTATACTTTTATTTTAATAAGGAATTGTAGGTTCCGTGTAAAAGGATTAGTTTTGTAATATCATGGTTTACAATTAATACAAAATCTGTTGTTTCATATTTAAAATAGGTATTTTTTATTTTGATTGTAGGCAACCAACAATACCGATGTCTAATAATAAGAGTCGTTTAACTATCTATTAACTAATCTTGGATTGATACTACTTATTTGTCAACTGAAGGTTTAAACTTTAGGTGATCTTTAGGTTATGTCACTTGTGTCATTCTATCTTGAAGCTTAAATGAATCTAAAAATTGAAATATTAAAAAATTTAAAAATCTCGAAATCGAAAGATCAGAAATCAAAAAACCGGAAAATAATAACTATCTATTAACTAATCTTGGACTGACACTACTTATTTGTCAACTGGAGGTTTAAACTTTAGGTGATCTTTAGGTTATGTCACTTGTGCCATTCTATCTTGAGGCTTAAATGAATCTAAAAATTGAAATACTAAAAAATTTAAAAATCTGGAAATCGAAACATCAAAAATCAAAAACCGGAAAATAAAAAAACGAGAAATCGAACAACCTAAGATTTCAAAATCGAAAATTGAAAAATGAATAAATTGAAAAATTCCAAAACTGAAATGTCGAAAAATTGAAAAATGAAACAACGAAAATTGAAAAAACCAAAAATCTAAAGATCTAAATGTCGAAAAATTGAAAAATCGATTTAATTGAAAAATTTAAACATCAAGAAGTCGAACAATGAAAAGATCGAGAAATCCAAATAGTCTGACGAAAAACTAAAAATTGAAAAATTGACAATTTTAAAATTAAAAAAAAGATAACTCAAAAATCCAAAAGATCGAAAAATCAAAAATTCCAAAAACTGAATAATCTATAAATCGTTCAAACTAAAATTTAAAAAGTCATAAAATTAAAATATGAAAAAATTGAAGAATCAAAGAATTGAGAAAACGAGGAATCGAATCGTCAAAAAATCGAAACATTGAAAAATTGGAAAATCGAATAACAGGAAAATTGAAAAATCTGAACACCCAAACTTCAAAGTATCGAAAAATTGAAGAATCGAAATATTGAAGAGTCTCAAGACTGAGATATGGAAAAATAGTCAAATCGAAAAATCAAAAAATTCCAAAACTGGAAAAATTCAGAAACTGAAAAATTGAAAACTCGAGAAATCGAAAAGTCCAACAACCGAAAAGTTGAAAAAACGAAAATTTAAAGAGTCAAAAAACCGAAAAATCAGAATCAAAAACCTGAAAAGTCGAAGATTTGAAAAACTGAAAAATTAAAAGGTTGAGATTTTGAGAAATAGGAAAATAAAAAAGTCCAAAATTTAGAAACGCCAAAAATACAAAATTTTAAAAACATAAAACTGAAATATGTATTGAAAAATTGAGAAATTGAGAAATTAAAAAAATGAGAAATTGGAAAATAGAGAAATTGACGAATCAAAAAACTGAAATCGATAATTTGACAAATCGAGAATTAAAATCGAAAAATTCAAGAATCAAAAAAGTGAAAAATCCGAAAACTAAAACATTGAAAAATTGAAAAATCGAGTAACCGAAAAGTTGAACGAACGAAAATTTTACAAAGTCAAAAAATTGAAAAATCAGAATCAAAAACCGGAAAAGTCGAAGATTTGAGAAACTGAAAAATCAAAAGATCGAGATTTTGAGAAATAGGAAAATAAAAAAATCGAAAATTAAGGAGCGACAAAAATTGAAGATTTAAAAATATAAAAATCGAAAACTTGAAGAATCGTAAAACTGAAATATTAGAAAATTGAGAAATTGAAAAATAAAAAAAATCTAAGATATCCATAATTTGAAAAATAGACAAATTGATGTATTGAAAAATTGACGAATCAAAAAACTGAAATCGATAATAATTTGAAAAATCGAGAATTAGAAGAATTGAAAAATCCAAAATTTAAAAAATCGAAAAATTGAAAAATTGAAAAATTGAATAACAGGAAAATTGAAAAATTTTAAAGTCTAAACTTCAAAATATCGAATAAATTGAAGAATCAAAATTTTGAAAAGTTCCAGGACTGAGATATGGAAAAATGGCCAAATCGAAAAAATAGAAAAATCAAAAAAATCCAAAATTGGAACATCAAAAAATTTAGAAATTGAAAAACTGAAAACTTGAGAAGTCGAAAAGTCGAACAGGCTAAAAATTGAAAAAACGAAAATTTAAAAAGTCAATAAACTGAAAAATCCGAATCAAAAATCTGAAAACTAGAAGATTTGAAAAACTTAAAAATCAATAGGTCGAAATTTTGAGAAATAGGAAAATAAAAAAATCGAAAATTTAGAAACGCCAAAAATTGAAAATTTTAAAAATATAAAACTGAAATATTGGAAATTTGAGTAATCGAGAAATAAATAAAATGAAATATCAATAATTTGGAAAATAGAGAAGTTGACGAATCAAAAAACTGAAATCGATAATTTGAAAAATCGAGAATTAGGAGAATTGAAAAATCGAAAATTTGAAAAATCAAAAAAGTGAAAAATCGGAAAACTGAAACATCGAGAAATTGAAAACTCGAACAATCGAAAAGTTGAAAAAACGAAAATTTAAAAAGTCAAAAAATTGAAAAATCAAAATCAAAAACCTGAAAGTCGAAGATTTGAAAAATTTTAAAATCAACAGGTCGAGATTTTGAGAAATAATAAAATAAAAAGTTGAAAATGTAGAACCCCCAAAAATTTAAAATTTTTAAAATATAACTATAGAAAAATTGGAGAATCGTAAAACTTAAATATTGGAAAATCGAGAAATCGAGAAATAAAAAAATGAGATATCAATAATTTGACAAATAGAAAAACTGATGAATTGAGAAATTGTCGAATCAAAAAACCAAAATCGATAATTCGAAAAATTGAAAATTAGAAGAAATGAAAAATCGAAAAAATGAAGAATCAAAAAAAGTGAAAAATCGGAAAACCAAAAATCGACAAATTGAGAAACCGAAAAATTGAAAACTTGAGAAATCGAAAAGTCGAACAACCGAAAACTTGAAGAAACGAAAATTTAAAAAGTCAAAAAATTGAAAAATAAGAATCAAAATCTTGAAAAGTCGAACATTTGAAAAACTGAAAAATCAAAAGGTCGAGATTTTGAGAAAGCGGAAAATCAAAAAATTGAAAATTCAGAAACGGAAAAAATTTAAAATTTTAGAATCGTAAAACTGATATATTGGAAAATTGAGAAATCGAAAAATAAAAAAATAAGATCGATAATCTGAAAAATAGAGAAATTAATGAATTAAGAAATTGACGAATCAAAAAACCGAAATCGATAATTTGAAAAATCGAAAATTAGAAGAACTGAAAAATTGAAAAATTGAAGAATCAAAAAAGTGAAAAATCCGAAAACTAAAACATCGAAAAGTTGAGAAACCGAAAAATTGAAATTCGAGAAATCGAAAAGTCGAACAACCGAAAAGTTGAAAAAAAAAACGAAAATTTAAGTTAAAAAATTGAAAAATAAGAATCAAAATCTTGAAAAGTCGAAAATTTGAAAACCTGAAAAATCAGAAGGTCGAGATTTTGAGAAATGGGAAAATAAAAACTGAGAATTTTAAAAACATAAAAATCGAAAAATTAAAGAATCGTAAAACTGAAATATTGGAATACTGAGAAATCGAAAAATAAAAAAATGCTATATCGATAATCTGAAAAATTGAGAAATTGTTGAATTGAGAAATTGACGAATCAAAAAACCGAAATCGATAATTTGAAAAATCGAGAATTAGAAGAATTAAAAAATCGAAAAATTGAAGAATCAAGAAAGTGAAAAATCCGAAAACTAAAACATCGAAAAATTGAGAAACAAAAAAATTGAAAACTCGAGAAATCGAAAAGTCGAACAAGCGAAAAGTTGAAAAAAAAACTAAAATTTAAGTCAAAAAATTGAAAAATAAGAATCAAAATCTTGAAAAGTCGAAAATTTGAAAAACTGAAAAATCAAAAGGTCGAGATTTTGAGAAATGGGAAAATAAAAACTGAGAATTTTAAAAACATAAAAAACGAAAAATTAAAGAATCGTAAAACTGAAATATTGGAATACTGAGAAATCGAAAAATAAAAAAATAAGATCGATAATCTGAAAAATAGAGAAATTAATGAATTAAGAAATTGACGAATCAAAAAACCGAAATCGATAATTTGAAAAATCGAAAATTAGAAGAACTGAAAAATTGAAAAATTGAAGAATCAAGAAAGTGAAAAATCCGAAAACTAAAACATCGAAAAGTTGAGAAACCGAAAAATTGAAATTCGAGAAATCGAAAAGTCGAACAACCGAAAAGTTGAAAAAAAAAAACGAAAATTTAAGTCAAAAATTGAAAAATAAGAATTAAAATCTTGAAAAGTCGAACATTTGAAAAACTGAAAAATCAAAAGGTCGAGATTTTGAGAAAGCGGAAAATCAAAAAATTGAAAATTCAGAAACGGAAAAAATTGAAAATTTTAGAATCGTAAAACTGATATATTGGAAAATTGAGAAATCGAAAAATAAAAAAATAAGATATCGATAATCTGAAAAATAAAGAAATTAATGAATTAAGAAATTGACGAATCGAAAAACCGAAATCCATAATTTGAAAAATCGAAAATTAGAAGAACTGAAAAATTGAAAAATTGAAGAATCAAAAAAGTTAAAAAACCGAAAACTAAAGCATCGAATTGAGAAACCGGAAAATTGAAAACTCGAGAAATCGAAAAGTCGAACAACCGAAAAGTTGAAAAAAAAAAAACTAAAATTTAAGTCAAAAAATTGAAAAATAAAAATGAAAATCTTGAAAAGTTGAAAATTTGAAAAACTGAAAAATCAAAAGGTCGAGATTTTGAGAAATAGGAAAATCAAAAATCGAAAATTAAAAAACGGAAAAAATTGAAAATTTTAAAAATATAAAAATTAGAAAATTTTAGAATCGTAGAACTGATTATATTGGAAAATTGAGAAATCGAACAATAAAGAAAAATGAGATATGGATAATTTGAAAAATAGAGCAATTGATGAATTGAGAAATTGACGAATCAAAAAACTGAAGTGGATATTTGAAAAATCGAAAATTAGAAGAATTGAAAAATCGAAAAATTGAAGAATCAAAAAGTGAAAATTCTGAAAACTAAAATATCGAAAAACTGAGAAACCGAAAAATTGAAATTCGAGAAATCGGAAAGTCGAACAAGCGAAAAGTTGAAAAAACGGAAATTTAAAAAGTCAAAAAACTGAAAAATCAGAATCAAAAACCTGAAAAGTCGAAGATTTGACAAACTGAAAAATCAAAAGGTCGAGATTTTGAGAAATAGGGAAATAAAAAAGTTGAAACTGTAGAAACGCCAAAAACTGAAAATTTTAAAAATATAAAAATCGAAAAATTGAAGAATTGTAAAACTGAAATATTGGAAAATTTAGAAATCGAGGAATAAAAAAAATGATGTATCAATAAATTGAAAAATCGAAAAATTGAAGAATCAAAAAAGTGAAAAATCCGAAAACTAAAAAATTGAAAACTCAAGGAATTGAAAAATTAAAAATTGAAAAATTGGCAGTTTTAAAATAAAAAAAATCTATAAATCGAAATATCAAAAGAATGAAGAATCAAAAATACAAAAATTAAAAAAATTGAATAACAGAAAAATCGCATGTCTGAAAAATCAAAAATTCTAAAATTTTAAAAATCGAATAATTGAAGAATCAAAAAATGGTAAACAGGAATCGAATCATCAAAAAATCGAAACATTGAGAAATTGAGAAATCGAAAAATTTAAAATTCCAAAACTGAAATACCGAAAAATTGACAAATCGAAAAATCTAAAATCGAGAGGTCAAAAAATCGAAAGATCCAAAATTCGAAAGAGCAAAAAAATGAAAAACCTAAAATTAAAAAGTTCGAAAAGTTGCAAAATAAAAAAATCGAATTACAGAAAAATCGAAAAATCGAAAAATCTAAACAAAGTATCGGAAAACTAAAATATGGAACAAATTGAAAAATTGAAAGATTCAAAAGTACCAAGACTGAAATATCGAAAAATACCTAAATTGAAAATAAATAATGTTGTAATAATTTTAAAAATTCTCTTTTTGTTAATGTTTTTTTTTCTATATTTTTAGTTTTGGAATTGTTTGCCTACAAAACCAAAAAGAATTTTTTTTTGGGTTTTTGAAAATATGTTTAATTTTGCTATAATGGTGTTGTAATAAATGAAATATTCATTAATAAAATGAATATAATATAACTTATAATAATAATAATAATAATATTAATGTTTATTAGTACCTATAACAAAAGTCGTTGTACAAGTCACAAATTCAATACAAGGCACATTACATACATATGGATTTCTATAAGTTTAAAATCAAGTCATAACATTGGATGGGGGCACAATTACTGAGGTAACACTGAGGAATTCATAATAATTGTAAAATGCATTTTTGATGAGATAATCTGATATTTGTCTCTTAAATTGCTTTATACCAAGATTTTGAGTACTTTCTGATAATTTATTGTAAAATTTGACAGAGTAATAATTGAATGACTGGTTTCTTTTTAACCTTACAAAATTTGGAAGAAGTGCAGCGTTGTGAAGTGTATTATACGAGTGAATATCTTTGTGTCTCATATGATTATTGATGTTAAGTTTAAGATGTAGCAGTGAATTTAATATATATATTGACGGTATAGGGTTAATATTCTTAAGGATGTAAAATATGAGCGGCAATCATTCCACTGATGGTTGGATAGATATCCGGATTTTTACCAGATTAATCTAGGATAAATTACGGAAAAATTCCAGATTTTTAACCGGATAAATGTCAGGGATAGTTATCCAGCCATTAAAGCTATTTTTGAAAGTAGTCGGTTATTTAACAACAATTTCTGAAAATTTTCTTATCGCATTTTTTGCGGAGGTTTTTATTCTTAGACTGTTGACATTTGTGAATTTATAGAAGATTGCAGTCAAAATAAAAGATAAATGTTCGTTGATTTATAAATGATTTGTCAACGTTTTAAAAATAAATTTGAACCCTATCTTAGTTACCTAAGCGCCGCCTCTGGCTGCTCCTCAAGTGACATCCAGCGCCCCCTATCACATTTTTGCAACGACTTAAATGCGATAAACAAAGTCTAACCTCACTTTTAGTGTAACTCATAATCACCCACTAATAAATAAAAACGTCTTGATAATTCCCACTCAAGCGCCACAATGGCATCAGTGGACGTCGTAATCGAAGAAAAAAAGGACGACGCCGTCGACCGACAAAAAGTAAGCCCACCTAACCTCAAACTCCACCTCACACTCTCTTTGCAGATTTGCCCATTTCTCCTGCGCGTTTTCGTCTCCTCGAACGGCTACCACTTCAAACCCACGGACTACAACAAAGGCAACACCCCACAGAACGAACTCCAAATATACACCTGGAAAGACGCCACTTTGCACGAACTGACCCAACTAGTCAAAGAAGTGAACCCAGAAGCGCGCCGAAAAGGTACAAAGTTCAACTTTTCTCTAGTTTTCCCGGACATGAGGGTGCCCATCTACCGAATGCGGGAGATTGGGAGCACGACCACCGGAATCAAGGGCCCTGACGACCTGAAAACGCTGAGTCAGTCGCGGTTTTCCATCGGGGATTTCATGGACATCGCGATCACCCCGGCGGACTCGTGGGGGTCAGGCGGGAGGAAGGGGTACTCCCAAAACTACAACAACCACCGACAGAGGCCCTACTGATTTTATGAACCGTTCTTAATTTAAGCCAGAAATAAACACAGATTTTGTATTAATTAATTTATTTGTATGGCATTATAATTACAATACGACTAATACCTAACCCTAGAATTGCCCCCCGGGCGGGGGCCGGAACTGCGGCGGCTTTCTCGGCTGCAGTTGCACCTGGGGCCGCTCGGGTAGCAATTGTTCCTCTTCTTCCGGCTCGTCACACTTGTTCCCAGTTTCGTACGAGTACTGTCTGCGCACCCCGTCGGGGTCCACGTAGCCGTACTTCCCGCGGGTGATGCAGTCCGTTCCCAACGTTTCTTCCTTGAAGGTGCCGTCTTCATTCTCGAAGCCCCAGGTGATGCTGCCGTCGGGGTTGTCGGTTCTGTATTTTCGCAGAATCTGGACTGGGGGCTTGCGGGTGCGTCCAGGGCGGCCGTTGTGGCCGTCTTCGTCTAGGTACTGCGAGGGCTGGCGGGCTGGGTGGCTCCTGGTGGGCTGGCGGACGGGCTGGGGGGCCTGGATGGGAATTTGTTGACGAACCTGTGAAAAAATGTCGACCGGTTTATAAAAAAAACAGGTTTGTGGCTATTTTTAGTGTTATTGTGTTATAACGTTCACTTTCTTTTCGTGGTGGCGTAAATTTGTTATTATAATTTATTTTGTTTGGAATTTTAATGTGAAAGCGAGTTGGTGTGGTTTTATTCATTGCCTTCACGGTGCAGTGAATGAGTCGGTTTTTTCAATTTGTTTTGTTGTGTTTTTTGGGATAAAAACGATTTAGAGAGGTGAAGAAAAGGAGAAAATGTGTTTGGAATGTTGCAAATTTATTATTGTTTACTAAGATGTAAACCATAAAACCAAAATAGGTTTAAATGTTTTAGACTTAACATTTTTCTTGTTACGTAAGTAAATTAAAAAAGTTGCATAAAAGTATTAAGGAAATTACATTTTAAATAAAATACAGTCGTCGTGTTATGTATGCAAATTGTTCATTTTTTATTTATAATAATATCCCAAAAATCCAGCCCAAGGTTGTCTAGAGGAGAGGAGAGTGGGTCGGATCGCATACTCGTAAAACGAGACCAAACAACTGATTTTTGTGTCATATAGATTAAAATTGTTTTCTTTTTGTTAAAAACTGCATTCTTTTGACATTTCAGCTTCCAAACTTGAAAATTTGATTAAATTTCGCAATTACCCGCTGTCCAAATCGTCTTCACTCTCCCCTAAACCGGTTATGCGCTTGCTAATCTAGTTCGAATTTTAAATTAACACTGCAACAATTTCTTTATGTTTATGGAAGTTGTTGATATTGTACATCGATCAAGGATGCCAAAAAAATTAGAGCATTAAACAAGTTTGTGGCGTTCTTGTACAATTAATTATGATTTTAATTAGAGAAATAACATTTCATAGTTGTTTAGTCAGCGATTATTTAAAGATTTTCTTATGAAGTTTTTAATGGATTTATTATACAACTGAGGTAATTTCGACAATGACGGCGACTTTTTAAATGATGCAAATCGTCAACACAACGAGCTTCGCCAATAAGGTGGGCGCCAAGATTTATTCATCCCACTAAGAAAACTGATGCTTTGTTCTTTAATGATATGTTTTTATTTTCTCAGCACTGATTATGCAGTCGACCTCAAAAAATTAATGTGCGATTTGTGTCTCGATTGTCACAGTTTATGTAATTTCTCGAAACACACCTATTTAATTTTAATGAGCGTTACGTCGTGTAGGTATATATGAAAATTAATGTATGTATCCCCACCAACAAGGTGGTGACGTCATTTCAAGAAGTTATTTAATAAGGCGATTATAGTCGAGACGAATTTAATTTTAATGTTTTAAGAGTAAATAAGTGTTTAAAGTTTGGCTTAATTTTTGGACGACTTGTTCTGGATGACATTCGAGAAATCAAAATTCAAACAATTTAAAAAAATCCGAAAAGTCGAATAAAATCGGCGTGGGTTACACTCAACAATTTATTTCTTAGTAAGTACACGACTAATTACAGAGTGATTATGTACAAAATAATTCCTGCTCAACTTGACTGGGTTTTTTCGACACTCGTTGGAGTCGGCTCGACTGAATCATAATTATTCCCGCATTATTTAAACGCATGCTTTCCTTCTAGAGGTTTCGTGATCGAGGTCTTTCTGGAATTCATACGACTTCCACTTCCAGGCTTTCCAGGCCACCGCACGATGAGTCATCATCGCCGTATCTACTAGAACCCATAGGCGCCGTACCGGGGCGGCGTATGGGTTTCTTTCGTAACAATATCGAAAAATTAAAAATCCAGAAATTCCCAAAATGGAAATGGTGAAAAATGGAGAAATTAGAAAGTTGAATAATTGAAGAGTAGAAAAATTTAAAAAAATGGAAAAGCCTAGATGTCAAGAAATCGGAAATTCGAAAAAGCTTAACATCTTTAATAAAAAATTTAAAGGAAATCGAAACATTAAAAAACCGTAAAATGGAAAATTTGAAATATGAGAAGATCGGGAAATTGAATCATTGAAATAGTCCAAATCACAAATTAAAAATAGAAAAACTGATAAATTAAAAAACCCATAAATCCAAAAATCAAAAAATTTAAAAATTTGGAAATTAAACAATCGCAAAATCGAAATATCGTATTCACGGGAAATTGAAAAATCGAAACATCAAAAAATTAAAAAATTTAAAATCAAAAAATCCAGAATGGAAAAATCGAAAGTTGAAAATTTATAAATTCCGAAAAATTGAAAAATAGAAAAATCGAATGGGAAAAACGAAAAATATAGAATTTAAAAATCGAAACTTTAAAAAATCCAAAAATTGAAGAATAAAGAAACTGAAAAATTGAAGAATAGAAACATCAAAAAATCACAAAAATTGAGAAATCGAGAAATCGAAAAGTTGAAGAATTGAAAAATTGAAGAATCGAAATATGCATTAGAAATCCTAAAATTGAAACATCGAAAATTTGATTAATCCAAAAATCGAAAAATTAGGAAATCCAAAAATTGAATGAAACATCAAAAAATCGTAAAATCAAAATGTGAAAAATCGAAAAATTTACAAATTAAAAAGTCCAGTAATCGGGAAATGGAAAATCAAAAAATCGAAAAATCAAATATTGAAACATTGAATATTAAGAAAATCAAAAAATCCAAAAAATATAAAAAACGAAAAACTGAAGAACCGAAATAATAATGTAAAATCTCAAAACTGAAATATCGAAAATTTGATAAATCCAAAAATTGAATAAATGGAAAAATTGTAAAATTTAGAAATTGGAAAATCTGAAATTTAAAATATCGGAAAATTGAAGAATCAAAACATTGAAAAATAGAAAATTCCAAGAACTGAAAAATGGAAAAAACGAAAATTCTAAAATTTAAAAACTTCGAAAAATTGAAGAATCAAAAATCTAAAAATTAAGGAATCGAAATATGTATCAACAAATTGAAAAATTGAGAAATCGAAACATCAAAAAATTGAAAAATTTAAAATCAAAAATCCAGTAATTGAAAAATGGAAAGTTGAAATTTTACAAATTTCGAAAAATTGAAAAATAGAAATTTCCAAAAATTGAAGAATAAAAAAATCGCAAAAATTCAGAAATCGAGAAATCGAAAAGTTGAAGAATTGAAAAATCGAAGAATCGAAATATGTATTGAAAATCCTAAAATTGAAATATCGAAAAATTGTTTAATCCAAAAATCGAAGAACTGGGAAATCCCAAAACTTATGAAACATCAAAAAACCGTAAAATCGAAAATTTGAAGAACCGAAAAACTGAAAAATAAAAAAAAAACGAGAAATCGAAATATCTAAAATTTGAAAATTTGAGATTGAAAATTAAAAAACTTAAGGAATTGAAAATTAGAAAGTATGTAGATAAACTGAAATGCCAGAAAATCATCGAACAATTGAAAAATTCAAAAATCGAAAAGCCAGAAATCAAAAAAATCGAAAGATCGAAAAATCGAGAAATTGAAATAGCCCGAATCAAAAATTGAAAATTGAAAAATTGCGAAATTGAAAAAACCTACAAATCCAAAAATCGAAAAATTGAAAAGTTTGGAAATTAAACAATCGAAAAATTGACACATCGTAATAACGAGAAATTGAAAAGTCGAGAAATCGATGCATCGAAAAATTGTAAAATTTAAAATCAAAAGATCTAAAATTAAATTTATAAAATCCGAGAAATTGAAAAATTGAATGGGAAAAACGAAAAATGTAGAATTTAAAAACCGAAAAATTAAAATTTCCAAAAATTGAAGAATAAAAAAACTGAAAAATTGAGGAATAGAAATGTCAAAAAATCGCAAAAATTGAGAAATCGAAAAATCGAAAATATGAAGAATTCAACTAGGTATGTATTGAAAATCCTAAAATTGAAATATCGAAGAACTGATTAATCGAAAAATCGGAAAACTGGGAAATCCTAAAACTGAATAAAAAACCGTGAAATCAAAAGGTGAAAAATTGAAAAATTTACAAATCGAAAAGTCGAGAAATCAGGAAATGAGAAAATCAAAAAAGCGAATAACCAAATATTTTATATATCGAAAAATTGAAAAACTAGAAAATTTAACACCGAAAAGTCGAAAAATGGAAACATCAAATATTAAGAAATTCGAAAAATCAAAATAAAAAGAAATAGAAAAATCGAAAAATTGAAGAAATCGGAAAATTGTAAAATCGAGAAATTGGAGAAACTGAAATTTAAAACATCGGAAAATTGAAGAATCAAAAAATTGAAAAATAGAAAATTCGAAGAACTGAAAAATGGAAAAAACGAAAAATTTAAAATTCAAAAAAAATCGCAAAATTGAGAAATCAAAAACCTAAAAAATTGAGGAATCGAAATATCATAAAATCGCAAAATTGAGAAATCGAAAAATTGAAAGGTTGAAGAATCGAAAAGTTAGTTAATCGAAAAATTGGGAAATCCCAAAACTGGAACATCGAAAAATTGTGAAAGCAACAAGGTGAAAAATCAAAAATTTACAAAAATCAAAACTGATAAATCAAAAACATGAAAAATCGAAGAATCGAAGGATTGAAAAGTTGAAAAATCAAAAAAACTAAATATCGAACATCGAAAAGTCGAGAAATCGAGAAATGGGAAAATCAAAAAATCGAAAAATCAAATATTTTATATAACGAAAAATTGAAAACCAAAAAATCTAGTACCGAGAAGTCAAAAATTGAAACATCAAAAATTAAGAAATTCAAAAATCGAAAAAATAGAAAAATCGAAGAACTGAAAAAGTGAGAAAACGAAAAACTGAAGAACAGAAAAATCGAAAAGTTGAAGAACCGAAATATTGTAAAATTCCAAAACTAAAATATCTAAAATTTGATATAATCGAAAAATTGTAAAATCGTCAAATCAAAAAATTGTAAAAAAAATCGAAGAACTGAAAAATGGAGAAAAAGGATAAAAAAACTGAAAAATTGAGGAATCGAAACATAAAAAAAATGGCAAAACTGACAAATCAAAACATCGAAAAATCGAAAATTTAGAAAAGCCAAAAATTGAAAATTTCAAAAATATAAAAATGGAAAAATTGCAGAATCGAAAAATTGTAAGAATCGTAAAATTGAGATATTGAAAAATTGAGAAATCGCACGATAAAAAAAATGAGAAATCGGTAATTTGAAAAAGCCAGAAATTGATAAATTGAAAAATCGAAAAATTGAAGAATCAAGTAGCTGAAATTGATAATATTGGAATATCGAGATATCGAAAAATAAAAAAATGAGATATTGATAATTCGAAAAATCGAGAAATTGATGAATTGATAAATCGAACAACTGAAGACCTAAAAAAGGGAAAAATCCGAAAACTGAAATATCGAAAAATTGAGAAACAGAAAAATTGAAAACTCAAAAAATCCAAAAGTCGAAAAATCGAAAAGTTGAAAAAATGGTAATTTAAAAAATCAAAAAAATTGGGGAATAAAAATCAAAAACTTGAAAAATCGGAAAATTTAAAAATAGAAACATCAAAAAAATTAAGAAATCGGAAAGTTGAAAAATCGGAAACGTAGAAACGTCAAAATTCGAAAATTTGAAAAATATGAAACTCGAAAAATTGACGACTCGAAAAATTGAGAAAACTGAAATATGTATTGAAAATCGAGAAATCGAAAAGTTGAAAAATCAAAAAATTGATTAATTGATAAATCGAGAATTCGAAAGATCGACAAATCGAAAACGTAGAAACGCCAAAATTAGAAAATCTGAAAAGTATGAAAATCGAAAAATTGAAAAATCAAAAAATTGAAAAAATTAAAATATTGAAAATCGAGAAAACGAAAAATAAAAAAACTCAGAAATCGATAATTCGAAAAAGCGAGAAATTGATGAATTAAAAAACTGAAATGGACAATTTGGACAACTGAGAAATAGAAAAGTTGAAAGAGCGAAAAATTGAAGAACCAAAAAAATCAAAATCCGAAAAGTGAAATATCGAAAATTTGAGAAACCGAAAAATTGAAAGCTCAAGAAATCTAAAAGTCGAGAAGTCGTAAAGTTGAAAGAAAAATCGGAATATCGAAAAATCGAGAAATTGAAAAGTTGAAGAATCGAAAACGCAGAAACGCCAAAATTTGAAAATTTGTAAAATATGAAAAATCGAAAAATTGAAGAATCGTAAATTGAAGAATTGAAAAACTGAAGAATCGAGAAATTGAATGAAAAAATTGAAATATTGAAAATCGAGAATTCGAAAAGTTGAAAAATCAAAAAATTGAACAATCGAAAAATTGAAAAATCGAAAAAGTGAAGAATAAAAAAATGGAAAAAACCGAAATATTAAAAATCGAGAATATGAAAAATAAAAAAATTGAGAAATTCATAATTTGAAAAATCGAGAAATTGATGAATTGAAAAATTGAGAACCTGAAGAATGAAAAAACTGAAATCAATAGACAGACGGAAACGAGAGACCTTTTTTTTCGTATTCTGGAGGCCATGAAACGTCCAGAAAACATGCAAGTGCCAGTCGCCTGACGGACTCCATTACAATATTTCCGTATGACACTCGAGAAGTAAAAAGGTTAAGTGTATCAAGTTTAGTATAAGTGAATAATAAAAAAAAGGGAAAGGTCAGCGACGCTATTAAGTTCAAGTTGCGTATCGCTTCTATTGTGTTTAATTTATTGAGTGACACTGACCTAAGACAGGCATCAATTTTTCCTCCCTAGGGACACAAATTTAATTTATTAATTCGGCTGTGCCCGCCATTTTGAGATACTTTTCATTACACGACCTTCATGCCATCAGCTATATTTTTTGTTTATAATTAAAAGCAAACAAAGCCCGTTGTGTATGTATTAATTTTTTGCGACCGAATTAATATGCAAAAAACGAACACCAAAAGCGATATTTTGGGTGGAAAATACATTTTTGTACAACAGACTGCGATTTTTGTAACCATTATTTTTTGTGTTAGGTATTGAAAAAATTAATTTGGAAGACGATTTTTTACAGTATTTCGGTCCGAATTCGTCCCGAGTTTTAAAGTCACCGAGCTTTTGAACATTCAGACCTAAGCTTTATGTCGTTGGTAACAATAGTTCCTTTGAGACTATAAACTATTGAGCGATTTTTCTCAATGTGGAGTCGTTTTAAGAACCACAACTCGATTTAAGTGCCACCAACATGAGATATTATATTATTGTGAAGATTTTATTGTACGTTGTTAAAACGATTTGATTAAAAGATCTCGACCGTGTAAGAAAGACGGCTTTAATAATAAATTTAAGCTTTAATTTTAATAATTTATTCTTTTTTGAAGCTGAAAATTTTAATTGAAGAAATATCACGCTGTGTCCAAATTCCTTCATATTTATTTCTTAGCTTGTGAAACAGATTTTTTAATTTGCGTCATTCGTACAGTTCCGGTTCTAAAATAATGAATCCGACACCTTATTAGTCATTACCTGGGCGTGCCTCACAGGCTGCGGCTGCCTCAGCGGCGGCCCCTCCTCCCTGGGTTCCTGCCTCAGTAGCGGTCTCGGCACGTTCTCCCTGGGCTCCTGTCTCAGCGGCGGCGTGGGTCTGGGGGCGGGCGCGCTGTCCCTGATGCTCTCCCTCAGGACCGGGATGGGGCGCTCAGGCCGGAAGTGCACCGGACGCTGGTTGTCCTCCTCCGGCCCGGAGGCCTGCCTGACTGCCGACTGAAGCGCTGAAATGCCCAGTTTAGTAACCTCGTCGTCGAAGTGGCCCGGCGAGGGCGTGGAGGGACCTTCTTCGGGCTCCTCCACAACGGGCCGGATGGGCGCGGGGGCGGCGTTGATCGGCGGCGGCGGCCGACGCAGACGCAAGGGCGGTGGCGAGTCGCCGTTGACTCGATTGTTGCGGAAGGGGGCCGGGCGGGCCTGGCCCACGAGCACGGCGCCGGGGATGTTGAGTCGGGGGGGCAGCTGGGCGGCGGCGTGGACGGCTAGCTGGAAAAAGTCAATTTTTACTTTCTGAGCTTCATCTCCAAATTTTACAATAGTAAATTTGTTTTTATTTTTAGAAAATAAGATACTCCTGTATTTGTGATGTATGAATCCGTGTTGAGTTTTCACCCTACACATCCAGATTTTTGGGAAAAATGAAAATTGTGTTACACCATTTTTCAATTTAATTTTGATATTGCAGAAACGAATGCTCTGAAATGTTGTAAACGTTTTAAGGTTATCCTAATCATAGTAAATCGTTAATCAAAATTGATTCGTTTATTCTCTTCCAAAAAATTGATGACGTCAGCTCAAAATTTTGCCGAATAAATCCTTTTTGAAGTATGCAAAAAAATATGACTCTATATTTGTAGTTTATCAGTGATTCAAAAAATTTAATGTATGTATTATACATAAAAAAATAAAATTCACAAAAACAAACCTTATAATTTTTCGAAAAATCTGGATTTATGTATATATTACAATTTTTTGTTGTTTAATTTTTGTTTAATTTTTCAATTTTCAATACCTCGGCTTCCAAATTTTTCAATTTTTCATTTTTCGATTTTTCAGAATCTCAAATTTTTAATTTTAACTTTCTCGATTTTATATCACAGTTTTTCGATTTTTTATTTCTTTTATTTTTTCAATTTTGCAATTTTTTCTGGTTTTTCGATTTTTTTAATTTTGAATATTTCGATTTTACAATATTTCGTTTTTTCGATTTTTAAGTTTCTCAATTTTCAATTTTCCGATTTTTCAATTGTCGTTTCTTTAACAGTTCAAGTTCTTGATTTCCTAGTTTGTATACGTTTCCACGTTTTCCTATATGTATACTTTTTGTTTTTTTTTTATTTTTGATGTTTCAATTTTACAATTTGTAATTTTTCCATTTTTTTGATTGGAAAAGTTGAAATATAGAAATTCTGAAAAATCGGAAAGTTAAAATATCGAAAAATCTAAAAATCGAAAAGTTAAAAATTGAAAAACCAAAATAAACGGAAAAAATTGAAAAATCGAAAAACTAAAATAACGAAAAATTGCAAAATAGAAAAAGTATCAAATCGAAGAATTAAAGAAATGAAATATTGAAACATTGAACAACTAAACATCCAGAAACTTATTTTAAAAATCGAAAAAAATAATAATTAATAAAACATTGGAAATTAGAAAAAAACGAATCCAAACGAAAAATCCTCTAAATTTTGGTTGGAGGATTTTGGTATTTTGAGGACATGAGGATTTTAAAGATTTGAAAATTCGAGGATTTTAGAATTTTGACGATGTAAGGATTTTGGTGTTTTGAGGATTTGAGCATTTTGGTGTTTTGAGGATTTTGGTGTTTTCAGGCTTTTGATCTTTTGAGGATTTGAAGATTCTGAGGTTTTGAGAATTTGAGGATTCTGAGGATTTGAGTATTTTGAGAATTTGGAGATTTTGGTGTTTTGGGGATTTGAGGATTTTAAAGTTTTGAGGATTTGAGCATTTTGGTGTTTTAAGGATTTTGGTGTTTTCAGGCTTTTGATCTTTTGAGGATTCTGAGGCTTTGCGAATTTGAGGATTCTGAGGATTTGAGTATTTTGAGGATTTGAAGATTTTGGTGTTTTGGGGATTTGAGGATTTTAATGTTTTGAGGATTTGAGGATTTTGGTGTTTTGAGGATTTCAGAATTTTTGAGTTTTAGGTATTTGAGGATTTTGTTGTTTTGAGGATTTGAGGATTAGAGAATCTGAGGATTTTAGTGTTTTGGGGATTTGGGGATTTTGTTGTTTTTTGGATTTGAGAATTTTGCAATTTTTTGGATTTGAGGATTGTAAAATCGAAAAATTATAGAATCGTCAAAATTAAAAAAGTTAAAAATTGAAAAACCAAAACATCGGAAAAAATTGAAAACTCGAAAAACTGAAAAAACGAAAAACTGCAAAATAGCAAAAGCGTCTAATCGAAAAACTACAAATCGGAGAACCGAAGAAACGAAATATCGAAACATTGAACAACTTAGATTAAAAAATCGAGAAACTTAAATTAAAAATCGAAAAAAATAATGAATCAAAAAATTGAAAATTAGAAAAACGAATCTAAACGAAAAATCCTCTAAATTTTGGTAGGAAGATTTTGGTATTTTGAGGATATGGGGATTTTAAGGATTTGAAGATTTGAGAATTTTAGTGTTTTGGATTTTAGTGTTTTGAGCATTTGAGAATTTAAGTAGTTGTTTTGAGGATTTAGGGATTATGATGTTTTAAAGATTCGAGGATTTTGGTATTTTGAGTATTTGAGGATTTTGTTGTTTTGAGGATTTGAGGATTTTGGTGTTTTGAGGATTTCAGAATTTTTGAGTTTTAGGTATTTGAGGATTTTGTTGTTTTGAGGATTTGAGGATTAGAGAATCTGAGGATTTTAGTGTTTTGGGGATTTGGGGATTTTGTTGTTTTTTGGATTTGAGAATTTTGCAATTTTTTGGATTTGAGGATTGTAAAATCGAAAAATTATAGAATCGTCAAAATTAAAAAAGTTAAAAATTGAAAAACCAAAACATCGGAAAAAATTGAAAACTCGAAAAACTGAAAAAACGAAAAACTGCAAAATAGCAAAAGCGTCTAATCGAAAAACTACAAATCGGAGAACCGAAGAAACGAAATATCGTAACATTGAACAACTTAGATTAAAAAATCGAGAAACTTAAATTAAAAATCGAAAAAAATAATGAATCAAAAAATTGAAAATTAGAAAAACGAATCTAAACGAAAAATCCTCTAAATTTTGGTAGGAAGATTTTGGTATTTTGAGGATATGGGGATTTTAAGGATTTGAAGATTTGAGAATTTTAGTGTTTTGGATTTTAGTGTTTTGAGCATTTGAGAATTTAAGTAGTTGTTTTGAGGATTTAGGGATTATGATGTTTTAAAGATTCGAGGATTTTGGTATTTTGAGTATTTGAGGATTTTGTTGTTTTGAGAATTTTGATGTTTTGCGGATTTGATGATTCTGAGGATTTGAGAATTTGAGTATTTTGGTGTTTTGAGGATTTAAAGATTTTGGTGTTTTGAGGATTTGAGAATTTTGGTGTTTTGAGGACTTGAGGATTTTGGTATTTTAGGTATTCGAGAATTTTGGTGTTGTGAGGATTTTGATGTTTTGGATTTGAAAATTTTGCTGTTTTTTTGGGTTTGAGGAGTGTAAAATCGAAAAATTATACATTCGTCAAAATTGCAAAGTCGAAAAACTGTAATATATCGAGAAATTGAAAAGTTAAGAAACACAAAAGTTAAAAATCGAAAAACCAAAAAATCGGAAAAAATTGAAAACTCGAAATACTGAAAAAACGAAAAATTGCAAAATAGAAAAAGTGTCAAATCGAAAAATTATAAATCAAAGAACTGAGGTAACGACATATGGAAACATTGAAAAACTAAAAATCGAGAAACTTAACTTAAAAACCGAAAAAATAATGAATAAAAAAATTGGAAATTTTGAAAAAACGGATCCAAACGAAAAATCCAGATTTTGTTTGGAGGATTTTGGTTTTTTGAGGATTTGAAGATTTTGCTGTTTTGAGGATTTGAGGATTTTCGTGTTTTGAGGATTTTCATGTTTTGAGGATTTGAGGATTCGAGAATTTGAAGATTTTGCTGTTTTGAGGTTTTGAGGATTTTCGTGTTTTTTGGATTTGAGGATTTTGCGGTTTTTTGGAGTTGAGAATTGTAAAATCGAAAAATTATAGAATCGTCAAAATTGTAAAGTCGAAAAACTGTAATATATCAAGAAATTGAAAAATTTAAAAATACAAAAGTTAAAAATCGAAAACCAAAAAATCGGAAAAAACTGAAAACTCAAAAAACTGATTAAAAAATTGCAAAATATAAAAAGTCTCAAATCAAAAAATTACAAATCGATGAACTGCAGTAACTAAATATCGAAACATTGAAAAACAAAAAATCGAAAAAATAATGAATAAAAAAATTGGAAATTAGAAAAAGCGAATCCAAACAAAAAATCCTCTAAATTTGGTTCAAGGATTTTGGTATTTTCAAGATATGAGAATTTTAAGGATTTGAAGATATGAGGATTTTAGTGTTTTGAGCATTTGAGTATTTAGTTGTTTTGAGGATGAGGATTTTGATGTTTTCAGGATTTGAAGATTTTGGTGTTTTGAGAATTAGTGTGGTGAAGAACCGAAGAAACGAAATATCGAAACATTGAAAAACTAAAAATCGAGAAACTTAACTTACAAATCGAAAAAAAAATTAATCAAAAAATTGGAAACTAGAAAAACGAATCCAAACGAAAAATCCTCTAAATTTTGGTGTTTTGAGGATATGAGGAGTTTAAGGATTTGGAGATTTGAGGATTTCAGTGTTTTGAATGAACATTTGAGGATTTAATTGTTTTGAGGATGTGAAGATTTTAATGTTTTGAAAATATGAGGATTTTGGTGTTTTGAGTATTTGAGGATTTTGAGGATTTTGGTGTTTTGAGGATTTGAAGTTTTTAGTGTTTTGGGGACTTTGGGATTTTGGTGTTTTTTGGATTTGAGGATTGTAAAATCGAAAAATTATAGAATCGTCAAAATTGTAAAATCGAAAAACTGTAATCTATCGAGCAATTGAAAAATTTAAAAATAGTAAAGTCAAAAATCCAAAAAGAAAAAAATCGGAAAAATTTGCAAAAGGGAAAAAGTTGCAAATCGAAAAATTACAAATCGAAGAACTGAAGAAACGCAATATCGAAACACTGAAAAACTAAAAATCTAGAAGGTTAACTTAAAAATGAAAAAAAATGAATAAAAAAATTGGAAATTAGAAAAAACGGATTCAAACGAAAAATCCTCTAATTTTGGTTGGAAGATTTTGGTGTTTTGAGGATATGGGGATTTTAAGGATTTGAAAATTTGAGGATTTTGGTGTTTTGAGCATTTGAGGATTTTGGTGTTTTTAGGATTTGTAGGATTCTGAGGATTTGAGAATTTGAGTATTTTGGTGTTTTGAGGATTTGAAGATTTTGCTCTTTTGGGTATTTGAGGATTTTAGGATTTTGGTGATTTTTGGATTTGAGCATTTTGCTGTTTTTTGGATATGAGAATTGTAAAATCGAAAAATTACAGAATCGTCAAAATTGTAAAGCCGAAAACTGTAATATATCGAGAAATTGAAAAATATAAAAATAGAAAAGTTAAAAATCGAAAAACCAAAAAATTGGAGAAAATCGAAAATTCAAAAAACTGAAAAAACGAAAAATTGCAAAATAGAAAAAGTGTCAAATCCAAAAATTACAAATTGAAGAATTGACGAAATGAAATATTGAAACATTGAACAACTAAACATCGAGAAACTTGAATTCAAAATTGAACAAAATAATGAATCAAAAAATTTGAAATTAGAAAAAACGAATTCAAACGAAAAATCCTCTAATTTTGGTTGGAGGATTTTGGTCTTTTGAGGATATGAGAATTTTAAGGATTTGAAGATATGAGGATTTTAGTGTTTTGAACATTTGACGATGTTGTTTTGAGGATGTGAGGATTTTGGTGTTTTGAGGATTTGAGGATTTTGGTGTTTTTAGGATTTGTAGGATTCTGAGGATTTGAGAATTTGAGTATTTTGGTGTTTTGAGGATTTGAAGATTTTGCTCTTTTGGGTATTTGAGGATTTTAGGATTTTGGTGATTTTTGGATTTGAGCATTTTGCTGTTTTTTGGATATGAGAATTGTAAAATCGAAAAATTACAGAATCGTCAAAATTGTAAAGCCGAAAACTGTAATATATCGAGAAATTGAAAAATATAAAAATAGAAAAGTTAAAAATCGAAAAACCAAAAAATTGGAGAAAATCGAAAATTCAAAAAACTGAAAAAACGAAAAATTGCAAAATAGAAAAAGTGTCAAATCCAAAAATTACAAATTGAAGAATTGACGAAATGAAATATTGAAACATTGAACAACTAAACATCGAGAAACTTGAATTCAAAATTGAACAAAATAATGAATCAAAAAATTTGAAATTAGAAAAAACGAATTCAAACGAAAAATCCTCTAATTTTGGTTGGAGGATTTTGGTCTTTTGAGGATATGAGAATTTTAAGGATTCGAAGATATGAGGATTTTAGTGTTTTGAACATTTGACGATGTTGTTTTGAGGATGTGAGGATTTTGGTGTTTTGAGGATTTGAGGATTTTGCTGTTTTTTGGATCTGAGAATTGTAAAATCGAAAAATTACAGAATCGTCAAAATTGTAAGTCGAAAAACTGTAATATATCCACACATTGAAAAATATAAAAATAGAAAAGTTAAAAATCGAAAAACCAAAAAATCGGAGAAAATTGAAAACTCAAAAACATAAAAAAAAACGAAAATTGCAAAATAGAAAGAGTGTGAAATCGAAAAATTACAAATCGAAGAATGAAGTAACGAAATATCGAAACATTGGAAAACTAAAAATCGAGATATTGAACTTAAAAATCGAAAACAATATTAAATAAAAAAATTGGAAATTAAAACAACGAATCCAAACGAAAAACTCCCTAAATTTTGGTTGGAGGATTTTGGCGTTTTCAGGATATGAGGATTTTAAGAATTTGAAGATTTGGCAATTTTGGTGTTTTGAGGATTTGAGAATTTTGGGTGTTTTGAGGATTTGAGGATTTTGATGTTTTGACGATTTCAGAATTTGAGTATTTTGTTGTTTTGTAGATTTTAAGATTTTGGTGTTTTGGGGATTTGAGGATTGTAAAATCGAAAAATTGTACAATCGCCAAAATTGTAAAGTTGAAACCCTGTGATATATCGAGAAGAAATTAAAAATCGAAAAATTGAAAGATTGAATAAATGAAAAAATTTTAAGATCCAATAATTGAAAAAAAGATAAATTCTAAAGTCATAAAATTCAAAAAGTGATGCTTTTTAAATTATAATGATTAGAAAAAAATAGAAAAAACGCAAATCAAAAATGGAAGAAACGAAACATTGAACACTGAAACACTGAAAAATTGAAACAAAAAAGGGAATAAAAAACCTAAACGAAAAATTGAAGAAATGATAAACTGAAAAACCAAAAATTAAAAATTAAAAACTTGTGAAATTCCAACTCGAAAAAAAAGCTGCGCCTCTGGTTTTAACTTTGTAGAAAAATCGCAATTTTTTTTTATAATTTTCAAGGAAGCGATATTCGTTAGGTTGTATTTCAGGGACGAGGAAAGTTCTGTCGAAATAAATTCGACCAATTTTTTACTTTTACTTAGGCTGAATTTAGGATAAGCATGCTAATGGTAATGGTTGCGTAAAGTGTAGACTTTAATGTATTCGTAAACTTTAGTTTTTCCTGCGGAAATTTCAGAACACGCAACTAATTAATGCGCAACGTAAGCGTGAGTGTGCGTTACCTTTGTAATAATGCTCTTATTACAAAACGAAATTTTGAGAAGGATGAAAGTGGAGCAAGTGAATTTAAATTAGTTGCATAATGAGCCGACTTGACCACGGATATTTTCAATCATATTTGAATAATTCAGTCGCATAGAAGGTGCGGAATTTTTCCCTCCGTCCGTACCAATCGCCACCAAAATTAGTAAAGTACGAGTAAAAGTAAGAGCAAGGTTGATCGCAATCTATCAAAGTCTGTTATGGCATGTATTCGGAATTCCAAGGATACCGCCTCTGGCAAAAAACTGCACTATTTCAATTACTAATAATAACTTTCAAGTCCACAATTTCCAAAGAAAACTCAAAACTCCGGCTAGTCGTAAATGGCGAGTATCCAAAGGTCATCCGATGGTACCGATTATGGTAAATGCACCAGCGACCGGCTTTTAATTTCTTGCATAAGCCTGCACTATTGCGTCAACCGGATTTTGATTTTTCTCACAGCCTTACCGCAACGAGCGCGCACAAAATCGAAGAAATCTTCATTCTGTCCACTTCAACCACTAATCATATCACAACTGGAACGTGCCCACTGGTACCAAGTATTATATATAAGCCGCACCCCACTGGGTATGCATTCTCGTCTCGTGGTCTGGCCAAGCCCATTGCAGACTCAATATCCACTTTCACACTCGAAGAAGTGCCTAATTGTGACCAGTGGCGTCGATGGGTACTGTGGAAGGGCGACGGGGTTTTATGGCGTACTGCAAGACAGGCATAAAACCGTACCGTCGAATACTTAAAAAAAGTCATTGAACAGGTTTTAAGAATGCTTATAAAACCTGAATAAAACAAATATGTTGGGAATTTGTGAAAAAAATCACTTGGACTGAGATGAGTAGAAAACCGCCCAACGTTGCTTTTCCATGTTTTGCGCAGATCAATGTTTGTTCATTGATAACGTATGATTATTAATGGAAATTTTGTGAAGGCACTTAGATTCATGAATATTTTAAAAACCGTTTGCTGCTTGGCACTGACTGTTGGCGTTTTACCATTTTGCCGGTACGATATCCAATTTTTCACTTATTCGCATTTACATGTTGTATGAAACTGAAATCGGAAACCCCTAATCTATTTTTTCTGTTCGCTTAATTACCGAGATGAAACCTACTGTGGACAAAAAGTGGCTGTAACATTACACAAATGAAGTATCATATTTAGAGGATTATTTTTTACTTCTGTTTTGGTTTCCCATATTGTTATTTTAGCCACGGATTTGGCTTAAAAAATAATTAAAAACGAATTTTTATTTTGGGTTTAGTTTTTCTCCGGGTTACAGTGTCGTATTAGATTGTTTCGTTTTTTGGAAAAATTGGTGAAACAGTATTTCAGCAGAACTTACCTCGCCCCTGAAGAGCAGTTCCACAAATCCCGCTTCTTTAAAAAAATGTAAAAAAAATATCGAGAAATCGAACATCGAAAAATTAAACATCGGAATTATGATAAATCAAGAAATCGAGCAATCAAAAAATTGTAATATTGAAAAATCGAAAAATTAAAAAATTGAAAAATAAAACATTTCAAAAATCAAAAACTGAAAAACCGAAAAATCGAAACATCAAAAAATGTAAAATTTAATAAATCAAAAATTTGGAAAATTCAGAAATTCCCCTAAATTGAAATGTTGAAAAATCGAAATATCGAGAAATAGAAAAATTGAAAAATTAAAAAAATTGGAAAACGTGCGATGTCGAGAAATCGAAAAACTGGAATATTAAAAAATGTAGAGTTTAAGAAATCGAAAAATTGATGAATTAAAACATCCCAAAACTGAAATGTCGAAAAATTGAAAAATCGAAACCACGACAATTGGAAAATCAAAAATTTTAAAAATCGAAAACTCAGAAGTCGAAAAATCAGAAATTAAAAAAAATCGAGAAATTGAAATATGTATTTAAAATTTAAAGCAACGAAAAATTGGAGAATCAAGAAATTGATAAATTGAAAAGTGGAAGAATTGAAGAATCGAAATATTGAAAAATCTAAATATAGAAGAATTGAACATAGCAAAACTGAATATTGAAAAATGCGAAATCTAAATTTTGAAAAATCGGAAAATCGAAAAATTAAAAATCGAAAAAACGAAGAAAAATAGAGAAATCGAAAAATCTAAAATGCAAATTATCTAAAAATTGAAGAATCAAAAAATTAAAAAATTGAAAAATTGGAGAAATCGAAAAATAGAAATACTGGAAAATCTTGAAATTGAAATATGGAAAAATTGCTAAATTCAAAACTTGAAAAATTTAAAAATCCCAACACTGAAACATCGAAATATTGAGAAATGGAAAACTGAAAAATGGAGAAATCGAAAATCCGAAAACCGAAAATTTAAAAAATTTAAAAATGGAAAAATGAGAAACCTGAAAAATGGAAAAATTGTAAAATTCAAAAATTTGAAAAATAAGAAATTGGAAAACTGAAAAAACGAACAATCCAAAAATCGAACATCAAAAAATTGAAAAATCAAAAATTAAAAAATTTGAAAAATTGAAAAATCGAAAAATTGAAGAAATCAAAAATGAAAGATCGAAAAATTGAAAAATATAAACACTTGCAACAGAAAAATTAAAAAATTAAAATTTATAATATCAAAAAATTGAAGAATTGAAATATTGAAAAATTTCAAAACTGAAATATGTATTGAATAATTGATAAATCGAAAAAGTGAACAAACGAGAAATCGAAAATTCGAAATTGGTAAATAAAGAGTTGAAAAATTGAGAAATTGAAAAATTGAAGAAACGAAAAATTGAAAGATCGAAAAAGCGAGAAATCGAAACACGGAAATATTCAGAAATTGAGAAATCGAAAAATTGGAATCCGAAATCGGAAATTCACCAATAAAAAAATCCAAACATCTAGATAACTTGAGAATTCCAAACATTGAAAAATTGAAAAACTGGTTAAGTTATATCCGAGTGGAAAAATGGAAAAATGGAAAAATCGAAATTTCAAAAAATTGAAAAAGCAGAAATTAAAAAATCCGAAAAATTGAGAAATCAAACAATTGAAAAATCGGGAAATCGAAATCCGGAAAAATCAAAAAGTCGAAAAATCGAAAACTTAAAATGCCAAAAAATTGAAAAATCAAACACCTGAAAAATGGAAAAATTGTAAAATTTAAAAATCGAAAAATAAGAAATTGGAAAACTGAAAAAACGAACAATCGAAAAATCGAACACCAAAAAATTAAAACACCAAAAATTAATTAACAAATTGGAAAAATTGAAACATAAAAAAATAGAACAATTGAAAAATCGAAAAATCTAATATCGAGAAACTGAAGCATCAATATACCAAAAATTGAAAAATCGAAAAATTGAAGAAATCCCAAAAATAAAAAAAATTGAAAAATAAAAAAACGAAGCACAACAATTAAAATTTAAAATATCAAAAAATTGAAGAATCGAAATATTGAAAAATTTCAAAACTGAAATATCGAGTAATTGCTAAATCAAAAAAGTGAACAAACGAGAAATCGAAAATTCGAAAAATTTAAAAATTTGGTAAATAAAAACTTGAAAAATTGAAAAATTGGGAAATTGAGAAAGAGAGAAATCGAAGCACGAAGATATCGAGAAATTGAGAAATCTAACAAGCCCAAACGAAAAATTAAAATCGGAAAATTGGACACCGAAAAAGTCGGGAAACTCACCAATCAAAATATGGAAAGATCTAGATAAATTGAGAATTCCACTGATTGAAAAACTGTAAAATCTATATCTGAAAAGTAAAAAATCGAAAAATCGAAAAACCGAATTTTCCAAAAATTGCAAAAGCAGAAATTAAAAAAATTCGAAAAATTGAGAAATCAAAAAATTGAAAAATTGGGAAATCGAGAACGGGCAAAATCAAAACGTCGAAAAATCGAAAATTTCAAATAACAAAGAAATTGAAAAATCAATCACCTGAAAAATAGAAAAATCGACAATTTAAAATACCCAAAACGTGAAAAATCAAAAACCTGAAAAACCAAAAATTTGAAAAATCGGTATATTGAAAAATTCAGAAATTGGATGATCAAAAAATCGAGAAATCAAAAAATCAAAAAATCGAGAAATCGAAAAGTTGAATGATCGATTAATCGAGAAATCGAGAATTCGAAAAATCAGTCCAAACCTAAGAAACGCGAGAAATAAAAAAAATTAAAAATGAAAAAAAAATTTAAACTGAAAAATTGAAGAATCGAAAAATTGTAGATAACTGAAAAATCGGAAAAACGAAAAATCTCAAATTTAAAGCATCGAAAAAATGAAGAATCAGCAATTGAAAAGTTGAAAAATCAAAAAATTTAAGAATCAAAATATTCAAAAATTTCAAAAATGAAAAATTGAAATACTGATAAGCAGAAAAATGAAAATATAAAAAAATTGAACATACCAAAAATGAAACATTGAAAAATTGCGAAATCTAGGTATTGAAAAATCGAGAAATCGAAAAATTAAAAAATGAAAAATCGAAAAATTGAAGAAAAGAAAAAACGAAGAAAAACGGAGAAATCAAAAATTTAAAATTTAAAATACATATCTAAAAATTGAAGAGTAAAAAAATTGTAAAATCGAGAATTTCACAAATCCCAAAAACTTGAAAAATTTCAAAAATGAAATACTGAAAATTTGATAAATCGCAAAATCGAAAAACTGAAGATATCCCAAAAATGAAAAACCGAAAAATTGGAAAATTCAAAACGAACAATAGAAAAATCAAAAAATTAAAATTTAGAATATCGAAAAATTGAAGAATCCAGATATGTTTTGGAAAATTTCAAAACTGAAATATCGAATAACTGAGAAATCGATAAAATGAAAAAACGACAAATCGGAAACCCGAAAGACCGAAAGGTCGATAAGTTTAAAAAATTGTTAAATCAAAAACTTGAAAAATCAAAAAATTGAGAAATCGAAAAATCGAAGAAATGAAAAATCCAAAATCAGAGAAACTGAACCACGAAAAGATGGAGAAATTGAGAAATGGAATAAGCCAAAACTAAAAATTAAAAATTGAGAAACTGAAAAATTTTAAATTAAAAAAAATCAAAAAATCGGAAAATTGGAAACCGAAAAATCAGGAAAGTCACTAATCAAAAAATCTAAACATCTAGATAAATCGAGACTTCCAAAAACTGAAAAATCGACAAATCGAAACATTAAAAAATCGAAAAATTAAAAAACTGGAAAAACATGTCGGAGGAGTAGAAAAATCGAAATTTCAATAAATTGAAAAATCAGAAATTAAAAAATTCGAAAAATGGAAGAAGCAAGAAATTGAAAAATTGACAAATCGAAAAAAAATAATGGAATATTGAAAAATTTCAAAACTGAATTATTGAAAAATTCATAAATCAAAACTTGGAAAATCCCAAAATTGAATCATGAATTGAGCGATCGAAAATTTGAAAAATTGAAAAATTGAAGAATCGAAATATCGAAAAATTGAGAAATCAAAAAACCGAAAAATCGGGAAATCGGAAAAAATCGATAAATTGAAGAATTCTAAAAATGAAAAATCAAAAACCTTGAAATCGAAACTTCGCAAACTTGAGAAATCGAGTAATGG